CTAAATCAGCAAATAAATTTCCATTAACTGCTAGTCTCCTTTCATAGACCCCTGTTGCTAGTTAATTTTTTTCTCTTCAAAGGACTCCTATACATATTGTTCAGGTGCATGCTACTTCATATTTCAAGTAATATTGTTTCACATAATACATGTATTTTTGAGTGTCTCTAAGACCAGATGAAGGAAAAACAGTCACAGTTATTAAATCAAGTGATTCTGTGCCTTTTAGCATAGCAGCAGAACAACCATGTTCAGTAAACGTGAGCCACGTTTCTCAGGGGAAAAATAGTTGGATCTTCTTGGGTATTCAATTTGTCAAACAGATTGCTTTTGAAATACTTTGGCTCTGTGCCATAGGATGTCCAAAGATGTTTTATGGTTCAAATAACTTAGTTCTTTAGGGGAAATAAGTGACTTTTCCCTCTTTGGTCTAGGGAAGAAAATGAAAAGCAAGTTGATTTTCATTTATCTTAACTAATACAAAACAGAATCTTGATATGCCAATAATTTTTTTTATTGTAGTTCATGAGCTGTTTTTGATCAAAGACCCCTTGATACTAATAAAAGCTGTGAGCTTTCTCCACTAGAAAAATGCCCATATTCCCCAAGTCTGCGTGCAACTAGTATCTACAGGGCTGAAGCTTATTCATGGAACCTGGTTAAGAAATTCTGTATCTTAGTAATTCTGCATAAGTTTTTTTGTGATTTTTTAAAAAACCTTATTTTGGCCGAGCGCGGTGGCTCAAGCCTGTAATCCCAGCACTTTGGGGATTATATATTAATATATATTCCCCAAGTCTGCGTGCAACTAGTATCTACAGGGCTGAAGCTTATTCATGGAACCTGGTTAAGAAATTCTGTATCTTAGTAATTTGCATAGTTTTTTGTTGATTTTTTAAACTTATTTTGGCGGAGCGCGGTGGGCTCAAGCACGTAATCTGGCCGAGATTGGGGCGGATCACGAGGTCAGGAGATCGGAGACCATCCCTGGCTAACACGGTGAACCGCATCTCTACTAGAAAATACAAAAAAAAAAACTAGCCGGGCGAGGTGGCGGCGCCTGTGTCCCAGCTACTGCGGAAGGGCTGAGGCAGGGAAATGGCGTAAACCGCGGAGGCGGCACTTGCAGTGAGGCTGAGATCCGGCCACTGCACTCCAGCCTGGGCGACAGAGCGAGAACATGCGTCTCAAAAAAAAAAAACAAAAAACCTTATTTTAATATTTAATATATGTGTGTAGTATATATAGTACACATTTTATAGTTTTATTTTTTCCTGCATAAGTATTTGTTACATGCAGCTAAAATTTCTTGACTACTTAATAATTTCTTATTTAAGAAAGTACTGTAATTATGTTTTATTGGAAGATAATATCAAATTATTACATACTCTACCTAGTATAAAACATACCACACACTTGAATAGAATTCATAAAAGAAAAATCAAAGTTGTATACTCTGTGCTATGTTGCTAGATTAATTCCCAGCCAAGAAACATGTTTTTGTAAGAATTACTGGTTTTAGAAAAAAAATCACTTAATTTTAGGAAGAACCAAGTGAGATACTGACTTTTGATATGTGGTAATTTCTTGTTTGTTTTCTTTCTGTTGTAGCAAAATAACTGTGACAAATTCCATGTGGATTTAATAGAATTTGCAGAGTCATTTTAATCAATTTGCCTACCAGGAAAAGTTGATACTTTCAGTGTGATGAAATTTTCCTTAGCCATTTCCCCCAATAATTTGCTCATTTCCTAGATATGTAATTTAATGATACCAGATTTGTTTGTCTCTTTGAATTTTTTTTTTTTCTGAAAGAGTTAAAAGGATACTTCTTAATAACTGTGACAGTACTTGAGTCTCTTTAATAGTATGGAAAAGAATGAGAGAATAGTGTAGCCAGCTGCTCCCCTGTGTGAAGGGACTGGGTGTTCCGCAAGGACTTCGTTGTGGCGAAGGAAGGAGAGCCATTCACTCATTTTTTTAAGAGCATATTTCTTCATTCTATAGATTGCCTTCTCGGAAGTTCAACTTTTTAAAAAGCTTATCAACTTAGAAATCATCCATGCTCTGCCTATTTTGATTAATGCCATAGTAAACTCCTAAGTCCAAGAAAAGAGGAGACCCAGAATGCCTGCCTCTGGGCAGCACGTTGATTTCCTTACAACTGTGTATCTCAGCAGTGTTTGACTTGGACGAAGGAAATTATAGAAAAACCTTGCCATCTTTAAATCTGGATCATAAGGTGCCAGAGCCTTCTGTTAGCTTATTTGTCATCTATTTTTTACGGTTCCTGCAAGCTCCATTCCTTGGAGGTACTTGAAACTGCAATTGACATAATCAGTTCCTAAGATTGGTTCAGATGCTGCTAAACTCAAAAAGAAGTGTTTTTAAAAAATTTAAACATCTTTTTTATGTATTTGATACATTTAAAAATTATTTTTGAAACTGTGTCATAGGTAGGGTTTTTTTTTTCTGTATTCTTCAAAATCACTTTTTCTTACACGTTTTTCAATTTTATAGTGCCTCCTAATGTATTACTAGCTTTACTTGCATCTACTAGTCAGTGATCTGTAAATCCATATCCAGTTACAAGAGCCTAGTATAGAAAGGAAATGTGCAGTGTAATTCTTGGGGAAAAATGAAAAATCTTCACTTGGGCCTATGGGCTATCTATTATAGTATGTTGATACATCATGGCCAGGGTCCATTCTGGTTGTGCAGTACCTGTTGTTGAATATTTTGAATATCACTCATAAATACATTTTTTCCTGGATGAAATAAGGACTTTTCTTTATTTAATATATAATCAGATTCCTGAACATCAAACTGAAATGTTATTTCTCTTCCATCATTTCTTACTCCTTTGTATTTAATTTCAGCTCAGGGTTATTTTGCTTATGCTCTTTTCACTCATTCTTGCAGTTAGGAATAAAATTCTAAATAAAACAGACACTGAAATAAAGAAATACTCATGTGATGAACCATGTCTAAGATTTAACAGATCCCCAAACTCGAAGAACACCTAAAGATCATCTATTCTGATTCATTTGCCAGCTCATGTCAGGGACCTGAGATTAGAATCCTGGTTTCTTGATTCCCAGTTCTGTACCTTTTAAGTACAGTCTTTTGCTGTAAATTATTTTTTCTGAACCTATTTAAGAATTTGATGGTATTAAAAATGAAATTTTCATTCATGTTATTACTGATTACTAGTTATTCTTGATTCTGGGTTACTAAGAAAACCAATACTGCTGATTTTTTAACACTTAAGTTTTACATCCCTTGGTATGGCAGTGAGAAAGGTGATGAAAAATGGACTTCTTTCTCCCTAGGGTTGATTTTCTGATCTCAGCACTTTAAACAGTGTGAGACTTCATCATTGCTTCCCAGTCTTAGCCTTCTTTTCCCCTTTCCTCTGTTCCACATGTCAGGTCTGCTGCCATAGGGAGCAGTCCAATTTGTGCCTTACAAAGGTACCTTTTCCTGCTGTGTCCTGCCTGGATGTTCCTAGTGTCATCTGCTAGGTTCCCCCACTGAAGTCCCTTCCTCCCTTCTTTTCCCTCCTTCCCCCTTCCTTCCTTTCCTTTTTTTCCTTCTTCCCCCTTTCCCCTTCCCCTTTTCCTCCCATGCCTTCCTCTTCTAAGTACCTCCCCCAGCCTCCTAATCTCCGGTTAAACTTTTTCTTTTATCTCATTGTTCTCTTTTAAAGCCACTCAGCATCACTTACAATTTATAAAACATTTGTATATGCATTTTAACTTTAACCTTAGCAAAATTAGTAGGAAAAGGTTAGCCTAACCCTTAAGAAATTTTTCCAGTAACAAGTGCATATTTTAATACTGACCTTCTACAGACAAATGGTCTATCTTTGTTTTTCAATCTCTGAATGAATCTAAAGGTAGGAATTTTAGGGCCTGGAAGAAACCTGCCCATCTAGCCTCGCCAGTGAGAAAAGCGATAGAAGACAGGGCAAATCTTAGTCCTTAAATCTCCCCATAGAGATCCCTGGGCCATGTACTGGGAGGACCAGCCCTGGTTAGATCAAGAAATCAACTGGAAAGATACCTTAGCTCTACTGGGCACTTTGACTCATCTGATTTATTGTTGGCCCAAGTAAGACGAGTTTCAGTGACTCAATCTATTGGTGACCTTTTGATTTCTGTGGAATCAGGGAGTTTCTTCCTCAGCAGACGTTTCCTTGTTCTTTATATTTTCAGGTGTTTAAACTTGTGACTCAAGTACTTTAAATATCACAGAATGCATTTTATTTTCAGTAGCCTGCTAAGGAAATTACTGCTATTCCTGCAGCTAGTATCAAGTGAGGAAATTGGATCCAAGGTAGTCATCATCAAATTATAGCTTTTTGCTTTCAACCTGATTGCTGGTTTAGTTTGGGGCAGTTAGCAACTTGAAGGATAGATTTAGTAAGAAAAGATGCTCTGGAAGAGGTGTAATTTGAAGAAAAATAGACCCTTGGGGGAAGAATTGAGGTCAAAGAATTGAGTAGCAAAGAGATGTCCATTTGTTCTAAGGCAGCTTAGTGAAAGGTGGAGGTGAGGTTTGAATGGAGGTAGTGAGTGAAGAAGAGGCATGTGTATTTTCAAAGTCAGTAGAGGTTGGTGTTGACTGATAATCAAAAGAAGCTTAAGTTTTATTCATGATCCTCACCATATCTTGGAACTGGTTACGTTCCATTATGATTGCTGAGCCTTATCAGTAGAGCTCCTCTCCTGCCCTTCGCTAGCAGCTTTCTTCTAGAGCAGATCATGGAAAATAGTATAATGTGTATGGCTCATTAGAATGTAATCTGAAGTGGCCTTTGGAAATCAGTCATGTCAAAATGTGGTGTGATTTTAGCTTTCCAAGTTGACTTTTTCCAACTCTGAAACGTTATCTCCTAAGTGTCCTAGGCTTCCCACTATGAAATGTTGCATGCTGATAAATAGTTGATGTATTTGTCACTCATGTCGCTACATGAGCTGTTTCTTGGTTAATTATAGGAACTAAGAGAAATACATAATAAGCAGCAACTCCAGAAGCAAAAGTCGATGGAGGCTGAACGACTGAAACAGAAAGAACAAGAGCGAAAGATCATAGAATTAGAAAAACAAAAAGAAGAAGCCCAAAGGTGAGTCTTCTTTGGATTATGGACTCATCTGGAAGGAACTTGGAGGATTTACTATTCTTTGCCTGGCTTCTCCAAGTAGTTACTGCACCAGAAAGAGCCTTCAGTCTTTAGTGTGCGTGTGAAGTGTGAGTGCAAACACAAACACGTGTTTATATAAATCTTTGGATATATCAGTACCCCCTGAAGTTTTTGGTTAGTTCCCAGAGCTCTCTAAGCTACTACTATGTAGATAAATGGAATTATACAAGGAAATTGGGACACTTGGTGTGCTCATTTGCATGTTAATGGCCAAAATAACATTTCTAGTTCACAGCCTTTTACTAACAGCTAACAGGGGTTGGAATGCCTGGTTTAAAATCTAAGCCACTGAGCTAGCGCCCCACACAGGGCTTCTCCAGCAGGGTCAGGGTGGGCCCCTCTGTTTCCCTTCTGTTTTTCAACTGCAAATTAAACTTTAGTACAAAAGGGGGAAATTTGCCACTGCTGCTTAGTGCGTAGGATACAGACATGTTTTTATCTGTTTTTGAAGATTTGTGTTTGTGATGTTTTTATTTTTACTTGTAACTTACTGTGGTAAATTGTAGAAATTTGTGTCTGATTTTGTTACTGGATATTTGCCTTTTAAATGTCAGTTAATTTTAGACTCCACAAAACAAAAATGACCAAATGTCCCAATGACAGCCTGTAAATTATAAAAGTTGGTAATTGAAATTAGATTAAGGCCAAGCACGGTGGCTCACGCCTGTAATCCCAGCACTTTGGGAGGCCAACGTGGGCGGATCATGAGGTCAAGATATTAGGACCATCCTGGCCAACATGGTGAAACCCCGTTTCTACTAAAAATACAAAAACTTAGCTGGGCACAGTGGCACGCGCCTGTAGTCCCAGCTACTTGGGAGGCTGAGGCAGGAGGATCACTTGAACCCGGGAGGCGGAGGTTGCAGTGAGCTGAGATCATACCACTGTACTCTAGCCTGGCAACAGAGAGAAACTCTATGTCAAAAATAGAAAAAGAAAAGAAAAAGAAATTAGATTAAAAAGACGACGAAATGGATACTTGAGGCAAGTCATTAACTTTAGTGGGCTGAGTTCAGTTAACCTGCCGAGAGCTGTGCATACTTTCTTATGGGTATGTAGAGTCGTCTGTTTGTTTTTCAGTGCCAGTGGGGAGGTATCTGGGGTCCGAAACCAATTTACATGATTGTTTTATGGTTTTCTTGGGGGTCAGACTAAGGGTCTCCTCCTTGGATGTATTGATTAATTCCATCCTTTTCTTACCTCCACAGTGTATAAAATGCTTTTATTATTCACACTATACTGCACTGAACTGTTAAATTCCCACAGAGTAGAAATAAACATAAAATACAGAAAAATACATAAAATAGCATAATACAGAAAATAGCATAATAAAAATATAATATGTAATATATATTCCAATTACATAGATAAAAACTACTCCAAATTAACTTCAGAAATTAGATGGTTGTACACTATATATGGTGACCTTTATTGGTAGAAAATATAAAGTAATTTTTTTTTTTTTTGAGACGGAGTCTCACTCTGTCACCCAAGCTGGAGTGCAGTGGCATGATTTCAGCTCACTGCAACCTCTGCCTCCCTGGTTCAACCAACTCTCCTGCCTCAGCCTCCCAAGTAGCTGGGATTACAGGCGCGCGCTACCACACCCAGCTAATTTTTATATTATTAGTAGAGATGAGCTTTCACCATGTTGGTCTAGAACTCCTGGCTGGTCTAGAACTCCTGACCTGGTGATCCGCCCTCCTCAGCCTCCCAAAGTGCTGGGATTACAGGCGTGAGCCACCGTGCCTGGCCACTGTTTTTATTATGGTTTTTTGTTGTCATGAATAACAGTATCCTTACCCCTCCAAAAAATGTTTTTATACTTTCCTAAAAGACATTTTAAAAATTGTAAATAAAATGTTTAAGATTTAAGTTTAAAGACTTCTGCATAAAAATTTCACATTCATACAGAGTAGCAATAAATGTAATTTTTTGACAATGGAGAATAAAAGTATAATTTGTTTCAATTATGTTCCCGTGGGAAATTCCTAATTCTAGCCAATGACCTGTGTGCGTTAGCCATGTCACAGGATGGCAGTTCAGGGTGGAGACTCTGGGACCAGGCTGCCTGGGATTGAAGCCCAGGCACATATGGCTGTGTGATGTGGACAAGTCATTTAATATCTCTGCCCCAGCTTCCTTATTTGTAAAATGGGAGTAATACTAAGACTACCTACCTGATTCGCAGTTTAAAGGAGTTAATATATGGAGAGCTAGTTATTATTATATCATTTGTTATTACATATTAGTTTTAAAGTATTTTCTGACTTTCTAAAGTATTATAGAATGAGAAAAATCATTCTCAGTCTTTTACTGTGGGTTTCAGGTTGAGGCCATCAAAAATTACAAGGCCTAGATTTAATTACAATTATCTATTTGTGGTAGCTACTTTGAAAAGCAAAATCAAAGTAGTTGAAGTCAATAAAACAATCACTTGCTTTCAGCTTCAGGCTTGGGGAGCAACATGTGCGCATGTAAATGTGTTGTACCTTTTGCTGGGGAGAAATTTTAGTGATCTGATTGATCATGTACTTATTTTAAGTGATATTTCATTTACAGTGTTGGGTATATTTTATTTTTATAGAAGTTATGTTCTCTGTGTTTTATGGCTCTGTTTGGTCAGTTTAATACCAGCTTTATTATTAAGTGTGTTTCTTATTCTTGTAACCACTTTATAAAATACATCAGAAATTTTCTGTGTTTTCCTAAATCATGTGATTTCTTCTCACTCAGAACTGAAGCCCTGATTCAGTTGCCCCGTCTGAAGAACAATGTTCCCTTGATGTTTCCCATCCCATTTACTGGATGGAGCTTTTTTTGTGAAAAGAGGCAACAGTAGTGTTAACTTAGAGTTGCTTCCTTGCTGTAATCAAGTGTGTTTGTTGGCAGACGAGCTCAGGAAAGGGACAAGCAGTGGCTGGAGCATGTGCAGCAGGAGGACGAGCATCAGCGACCAAGAAAACTCCACGAGGAGGAAAAACTGAAAAGGGAGGAGAGTATCAAAAAGAAGGATGGTGAGGAGAAAGGCAAACAGGAAGCACAAGACAAGCTGGGTCGGCTTTTCCATCAGCACCAAGAACCAGCTAAGCCAGCTGTCCAGGCACCCTGGTCCACTTCAGGTATTAGAAGCCAAAAATAATTCTAGAAAATAAGTCATCTTCTCTCCCAGATCCTCCTGAAAAACACCCATATCTCATCAGGACCAGTCTTGGCTACATTAACAGATGAGAACATCAGTCTCTTATTTTGAGCATGGCAGCTCTTCTTTCCCCAGGGTCAGTTGAGATCTGTGTAATTCTCCCATCACCATGCCAGCCTCTGGCCCACATTACACTGGCATCCACGAGTCCTCTACAGAGTTAACAAGTGGCGTGAAGTTCCACTGGTCGTATATGCTGCAAAAGAACCTGCTGTTTCTCTGGTTTGTTACTTCCCTCCCTGGAATTTCTGGGCTGTTTCTGCAACAGAAAGTGGCACCTTTCACCCTTGCCTCCACTGATGGGGTATTCGCTGTCTTCGGTCTGCATTGCATAAAACTGCTTTTACTTTTTGAAAAGTGGCAGCGTTTTGTCCTTTGAACATAATTTGCTTTTTCTTTTCTTTACTTCTCTTTGCTTTTCTTTTTTCTTTGAGACAGTCTCACTCTGTCGCCTAGGCTAGAGTGCAGTGGCACAGTCATAGTTCACTGCAGCCTCAAACTCTTGGGTTTAAGCAATCCTCCTGTCTTAGCCTCCCAAGGAGCTGGGACTATAGGTGTGCACCACCATGCCCAGCTAATTTTTTTTTTTGTAGAGATGGAGTTCTAACTTTGTTGCCCAGGTTGGTCTTGAACTCTTGGCCTCAGGCAATCCTCCCACCTTGGCCTTTCTGAGTACTGAAATTACAAGCATGAGCCACCATGCCTGGCCTAATTTGCCTTTTTTTTTTAAAAAAAAGGATAAATAAAAGACTGAACAAAAAGATAAATGAAAGACTGATCTAATTGGAATAGCTAGGAAAAGCTATCCTTTATAATAACAGATGTAAGCTAGAATGTATTTAAGATTCCTGTGTGGTTGTGTGATTGTACAGTTTTGCAAATAATGCTCAGCGGAAGCAAGTCGTTGCTTTTTCTTTGTGTGGAAAATTATACCAATTTTGCTTGGTCATCCGTGTGCTTCTTTAGTGCTACAGTATACAGAAAGAAAAGAAAGAAAAAACACTTTCAAGCTATTCTGTAAAGGTTTACTGGTTCCCAGCTGCATAGTGGGCTGAGATGGGCATGAGGTATGGAGCTGCAGTAGGCACCTACCTGCTTTCAGATGCGTGCAGTCCAGGGGAAAGACTGGCAGGTCATCAGACCTACACAGTAGCAACCATGTCATAGGAGGGGCAAATCAATTTTTTGATAGTTTTTTTCTATCTGAAAATAATTTCACCATTGATCTTAGGCAGTTAGTTTAAGTTCTTCACGCGTCCTCCTAGTATAAAATGATTTGTTTTTTCGCCTTCAGTCAGTAGGAAATCTTGCATGTCATACAGTTCAAAATCATGTGGAGATAATACTTTACCCTCATTGCTTTCTGGATAAGAGAGTTATATGTCAAAATACTTGTAGCTCTTGAGTAAAAATGCCCAAAGGTCTGTTATTAGTTGTTGCTAACCAGAATGCAAAATATCCTCTGCTCATGTACATTTTTAAACATTTTGTTTCATTTAAAGTCTAAATTATTTTCATCTAGGGTTCATCCTTAGGCTCATTATTTCCCAGAGAAATGTATAGGAAGAGTTTCTTCATTGGGGATTGTCAGTATAACTGAAATCAGCACTTAGGTTTTATATGACCATGTTAAAGAGCCTAAAACATCTGCATTTTCATGTTTTGGTATGGAAACTGGTGCCTCTGTTCCCTCCCAAACAAGTTTGCTCCTTGGCTGATTCAGACTTTGGGTCGTATCCTAACTGCTACATTGTACTCAACACGCTGGGTAGGGAGGAGGGGGTATTGATGCTTTACAGATCTGCACTGCTAGAGCCCAAGCCAAGAGGCAGAGACAAGGGACCTTTAGGCAGCCTGGCTGCACTCAGCCTTGGAATGACCTTTGTTTAGAGGGAGTCACCAATGAACTCTCTGATGGGTTTGAGTTGCTGACGTCAGATTTGGCTCTGCTTTGGCAGTCAGTATGTGTTTCAGAAATTCCTTGAATGGAGGGAAATAGTTCAGAGGTGAAGATAGGCAATAGAGGAGAGGTTAGTTGTTTGGCTTGTTGTCATACATTTATGTTCTCTGTAATTATTTATTTTTGTCCCCCCACCTTTTTTGTAAACAGAAAAAGGTCCACTTACCATTTCTGCACAGGAAAACGTAAAAGTGGTATATTACCGGGCACTGTACCCCTTTGAATCCAGAAGCCATGATGAAATCACTATCCAGCCAGGAGACATAGTCATGGTAAGAAAGACTCCAGTGAGAGGGTCATTTCTGTTGAAGATTAGCCTCTGTCCTCTTGTTTCACTTTATTCAACAATTGTGAGATTGTCAGTGAGTATGAAACCCAATAATTCAGCATCTAGATTTTTAAAGTGTAAGCTCAGTCTTCTTTCTTTTTTATTAAAATGAAAGATGGCATTTAAAAAATGTATCCCAACATCACTTTAAAATTGAGTTGGTAAAGACAATGTGTTCTTATTTTTAAATCTATAAATGTCTGATAATTTCGGAGTTTAGATTACTACTTATATACTATGAGTATAAATATATGAGTATAAATATATATGTAATACATGTATTTTATATATGATGTATAGACTATATACTAGCATGCGTGTGTATATATATTATATGTATAATATATACTAGTGTGCATATGTACATATATATACACATACACTAGGATCCTCCAAGGTGGGAGGAGGCCAGGAGTCTTTAAGAAATAGTTATAAGTGCAGAACACCTATCATCATTCTCATAACTGCAATAACTTTTGTATCTTTGCATCAGAGCATCTTTTTTCCCTTTAATTATGTGAACTTTGAATTATGTAAAAAGAGTAATGAATTACACAGTTAATCTGCTTTCCTACTCTGAAACAGAAAATAATTTAAAATTTTACTTTGTTACTGTTTCTTTCCTTTAATTAATAACAATCTTATGATGTGACTAAAACTATAGGAACCAGTTTAAGAAAGAAAATCAAACAACATGGTTGATCTAAATCATTTTCTAAAAGAAAATAGTAGTTCCTTGTTCTAGTTACTCACTTTTAGAGTCTTAGAAGTCGTCAACTTTGCATTACTCTTAGCACTTTTTTTTAAAAAGATAATTTAGCTTTTTTTGTTGTTGTTGACACAACTTCTCACTCTGTTGCCCAGGCTGGAGTGCAGTGGCGTGATACTGGCTCACTACAACCTCTGCCTCCCGGGCTCAAGCAAAGCGATTCTCCCACCTCATCCTCCCAAGTAGCTGGAACCACAGGCGTGCACCACCATGCCCAGCTAATTTTTGTATTTTTTGTAGAGACAGGGTTTCTCCGTGTTGCCCAGGCTGGTCTTGAATTGCCTGGGCTCGAACGATCCTCCCATGTCAGCCTCCCAAAGTGCTGAAATTACAGGCATGAGCCACCATGCCTGGCCTAGAATTTGTAAAGAACTATGAAAGTTAACAATTGAAACAACATATTTCTTGCCCAAGGACTGTATGTCTTTGAAGTATAAAGGGTGTTGTACAGGTGATTATACTATTATTCATGCATTCATCTTGCCATATACACATCATATCTGTGGATCTTTAATAGGCTAAAATACGTAGAAATAACAGTATGTTTAGCACTTAGAGAAATCAATTCCTATGTCCCCTTTTTTCCTAATAGCGCTGTTTTCTTTGTAATTACCATGGGCTAGAAGCAAGGCCAAAAATCCCAAATTATTTTTTCTTTTCTTTTCTTTTCTTTTCTTTTCTTTTTTTTTTTTTTTTTGAGACAGAGTCTCACTCTGTCACCTAGGCTGGAGTGCAGTGGCGTGATCTTGGCTCACTGCAGCCTCCACCTCCCAGGCTCAAGTGATCCTCCTGCCTCAGCCTCCTGAGTAGCTCAGAGGTGTGTGCCACCACACCCAGCTAATCTTTATTTTTTTGTTTTTTTGTAGAGATAGGGTCTCCCTATGTTGCCCAGGCTCCAGATCTTTAAAGTTAAAATCACCTTAACAATAGTGAAAACCTCTTCAAATATACTCCATGGCTTCATTCAGCACACAGTTATTGACTGAAACATGCTGGGTGCCAGCCTTACTCATCCTTTACAGAAAGAACTGTGGGTTTGGGCACTCCACTCTGCGCACACAAACGGTAACTCGAGCCAGCAGGGCATGTTTGTCAGCTTTCCTCTGACTTCACCACCTGCTGTTTCCTACACCGTGGTTTCTAATAGCCTGAAGCTACTTTACTCATACTGCCTCATATTTGAAGTAGTGTATCCTGTAAAGCAGATTAATTGTAAAATATGTAAATACCATGTAATAGGAATCTAAAATTTCTGAAAATACAATGTCACATCAATGAGAACCTCATTACAATTTTTTTTAACGTTAAACAAACCAGCCTAATATTTTTGAAACTGGATTTTCTTGCAACACAAGGTGCAGAGAAGCAGCTCGCTCTCATCCTGAAGTAAGGGAACGTTGTGAAATGTTATGATAAGGAAATGTTGCAGGTGATCTGTATCTTGATGAGAAAGTGTTGCTCTTTTTCGGTAACATATTTGGGCTTCACCTATAATCGTAGGCCTGTTGAAACCTTTTCCTCGAATTGGCTAGTTAACCACCAGCTTGATGAGATGCGTAGAGTTTAGATATGCTGTAAGAATAAAGCATGTCATTAAACATATATTTTGCCTTGCTTTCAAACCTTTGCTTTCCTGGTGGAGGTTAAAGGGGAATGGGTAAGTGTTGCCTAACTGTCAGGAAGTCTGCATCTTATTCAATGTTTTGTCCTTTTAAGTCACTTGAATTCTGTGTAAGTGCACCTATCTCTGGGTGTTGTTGTGGCAGTAAAAATGTGTTTGAGTCTGTGTAGTAGGTTGTGCTTAAAAAAAAAAAAAGTAAGTCATAAGTCTTCTCAGTTTGTGTACTGGGTTTCTTTTTGCTAGATTCCTTTTAAGGACTAACTTGAATGCTCTGTGTTTGGCAAGGAATTGGGTCAAGTCTTCATCTCAGGCCATAGACAAAAAGGAGTTCCAAGTAGATTAAACATAAAAGATAACAATTCTGGGAAGCAAAAATTTTTAAGGAGACTATTGGAATAATTTTCTGGCTAAGAAAGGCCTTTTTAAGCTATAAAAACCAGAAGTCGTAAGAGGCAAAAATGGACAGTTGACAATATGCAAAAATTAAAATGTCTATATTTCAAAATACATGAGACCAAGGGTTACATAAAGGGTTACCCCTGTTACATAAAGATTCCAAACAGTTAACTTTGAAAGACACCCACAAGCCTTAAACAATTGGCAGAGGGTGGGAAGGGACATTCACAGATGAAGTAAAAAGTCAGTTATTTAAAAAATACATGAAAAGATGCTTAGCTTCTTGGGCAATCAGAAAAATGCAAGTTAGAAAACAAAATAGCATTGTTCCTCTATCAAATGAGCAAGTTTAAAAGTCTGGTAATATCCAGCTTTGTCAAGAGTATAGGACAGTGAATATAATATACATTGTTAGCATGGTTGTATAAATTGGTTAAGTGATTTGGAGGGCAATTTGGCAGTGCCTGTTTAGATTTAAAATTCTCATTCCCTCTGCCCCAGAAATTCTATTTTTCTCCTTCCTCTCATGCTTTTCCTTCCTCTTTTGGGCACATGCACAAATATGTGTGGACATGGATGTTCACTGCAGTGGTGTTGGTAAAAGGAAATGAACAGCCCAGTGTCCATCAGTAAAGGGATGGTTTAAATAAATTATGATATAGCTAAAAATAATGAAGATTAAAACTTATATAGATCACATATACGTATAAGATTTCCATCAAAAAAGCAGAATATGTGCAGCATAATTGCATTTGGTTAGAAATAAAACTATATATGTATTCATGTGTTTATGTATAGTTAACAATTTTGAAATACATATATCAAACTGTTAACAATGGTTACCACTGGGCAGTAAAGAAGGGGCTTTCATGTTGAATTTTATAGACTTCTATGTTATTTTCATTTTTGTAAATAATTTTTAATAAAACTAAAAATAAATTAAGGACAAGTATAACAGAGAATATCTACCCAGGACTGTAATAGTGTTTATTTTATCTCAGACCTCCTAAATATGTAATGAAATGTAGAATGTACTACTAGGCATAATTAGGTGGCTTGCGGAAGGGACAGCAGTGTTTCAGTTTTGTACTACAAAATGCATTGTGATACTCCAGGTGCCATTCAACTGTGTTATCATTGTGAGGATAACAATCAATGCAAAAAGATAGATATTGACATCTAATAGCAACAGGTTTGTATTTTTTTAATTTCATGAATTTTGCAGGTAACAAACAAGGAGCATGAAACATGTAGTACAACATTACTGTCAGTCTCTCTAGGTTGAAAAATCCGGGGTTCACTTTTACTTTTGTGGGCACAGTCATCATCAGATTCTCAGATTCCTCAAACATCTTTGGGACATAGGTTACTATAATATGTTCGACTTTTAGAAGTCTAACAATGTGACAGTGTTTTCTTTTTCAATGTAGGCAGTCTTAGCCTTAAAAATAATTTGCTTGTAGAAAAACTTAGCCCGGTTTTATCCAAAACTATAATTTTTCATGGTTAACAAAAATTTAATGTGATACCTTGTATATAGCACTATTCTCAGTGCTGTTGATAATAGAAAATTATCAAGTCTACCATTCATATGGTTAAAATCTTTTTAGAAAAATCTAGAGGAACACATGAAAAGGCCAATATTTGATGAAGCTCTCAATAGATATTCACTAACTCTGCTAGGAATTTAGAGGAGGAGAGGAATCCGTGTGAAGTGATGTGCTCCGCGAAGACTGAATGCTTTCCGATTGAGTTTGACCTTGATGGCTAAGGCTTAGATGCTTAGAAAATATATGGCCTCTCTTGATCTGGAAGTCTCAATTCTTGGAGGGTGAATTAAATCAAGTTTGACATCCGTCACATATTAGTAGAACATAAGAAACGAGAAGACCTATGCTCACTGCTGTTTTGTTGAAGTTTATCTGGAGAACACAGGCTGGGTGTCTAAATCAGTACAGTCTTTTGGCTTTCATGGGCCACATTGCAAGAATTGTCTTAGGCCACACATAAAATACACTAACAGTAACAACAGCTGATGAACTTTAAAAAAATTGCAAAAAAATCTCATAATGTTTTAAGAAAGTTGATGAATTTGTGTTAGGCCGCATTAAAAGCTATCCTGGGCCACATGCAGCCTGTGGGCTGTGGGTTGGACAAGCTTGGTTTAAATGCTATACTTGGACTGGTGCAGGCCTGAATGCATCCAGATTGCTGAGGGAGCTTCCAAAAAATAACCATGCCAGGGCTCATCCCCAGAGATTCTGGGAACGTTACTGCATATACAGCATTCAAAAGTCCGACCAGGTGGTTCTGTTAGGGAGTCAATTTCAGGAACCACTGATCTAACTTAATCTCTTGTTCATGTCAGGACTAATCCTAAAGCATTTCTAGCAAATATCCTCTTAAAAATACCCAAGGAAGAATGGACTTCTTTAGTAGTTATTAGTCATTAGCTAGTCAGTTCATTCTGGAAATTGTTTGTCTTAGTGTTACTCTTGTACCAATTTTTAACTCATTGTTTTCCTTTTCTTCTCTTGACAGATATTTTTTTAAATGTAGCCAACAATACCTTTTTCCTCTACCTTCCATAGATTTCCGTAGATTAAACATCAGAATGCAGCTCATTTAGTAACAATTGGCCGTAATATCACTGCGGTTTTGAGGGACCAATATACACATGATTACAAGGTTGGCTCACATCTGGCCCAATCACTGCCTGTTTTGTAATAAAGTTTTATTGGAACACAGCCAGGCTCCTTCATTCACATATTGTGTGCTACAGTGGCAGATTTGAGTAGTTGCAACAGAGGCAAAATTTGCCAACCTCCAGGTTGGAGCTTTAGAAGGAGTTTTAAGGCCGAGTGCAGTGGCTCACACCTGTAATCCCAGCACTTTGGGAGGCCGAGGCGGGCGGATCCCGAGGTCAGGAGATTGAGACCATCCTGGCTAACACGGTGAAACCCCATCTCTACTTGAAAAAAAAAAAGCCGGGCGTGGTGGCAGGCACCTGTAGTCCCAGCTACTTGGGAGGCTGAGGCAGGAGAATGGCGTGAACCCAGGAGGCAGAGCTTGCAGGGAGCCGAGATCACGCCGCTGCACTCCAGCCTGGCAGCAGAGCGAGACTCCATCCAAAAAAAAAAAAAAGAAATAATTTTAATATCCTCATCTAGGAATTTGAAGGAGAAATCTTATATTTCAAAACCGCCGAATCCATGAAAAATGTTTTGCTACCTGCACTCCTCAACACATCCCATGCAGCCACTGTCAGCTGGTCTGAATACACAGGCTAAACCTGTTTGCTACCCTTGTTTATCGTGTTCTGTGAGGGAAAAAGGAATTTCTGCTTCCCTCCTTTGTGACAGGGTCAGAGATTTTAGAAATATTAATCTCATCTAATGAAGATGGCAGCCATTGAGCATATAAAAATTGAGAAAAGAGGTGTAATATTATCAGCCTTTGCCAAACGGACTTGAACCTGAAGTGGCTGCTTTGTATATTTGACTGTTGCATCAGTAAGCTACAATATGCAGTGTGTAATTACTAACATTTTGTAGACCAGCTCTGTAACATAGTCCCAGAAATGTGAGCAATATCTGGTGTTTGTACTTCACTTTAATGATGTTTCATTAGAATTACCCCCAAATACGTTGGGGTGTTACAGTGTGGCTGATAAATGAAATTGTATTGAGACCAAGATTGTTAATAATAACATCTCCCTTATAGTCCCCCAGTAGGTAAATGTACATTGTGTAAAAAGTCCACGTTGGAACCAGTCATATTACAAAGCCATTTGTGTTCCTACTTCTTGGTCTGCCATAATCTTATGTTTTCCAGAATTGGATTGACATTTTGGGTAGTTTTCCAAATCCAGGAAGAAATGTTTTTTATTTTCATATGTTGACCTTTCTAAGTGGTTAATTTAATTTGGGTGTTAAGAATCAATGTCTCTTGCATCCCCTGAACCTTAAACTGTAATAATTTATTAAAACTGATGTATACTTGTAAGAAGAGTAAATTAAACTAATTGAGACTATTGTTTGGGGGGCTGTTGAGACCAGCAGATTTCTTTGCTTAAAGTGAAATGCTGATTTCACTGTTGTCCTTAGGGCTGGGAGAAGCTCTTGCTTATGGAGATAAGAGGCTGATGTGGCCCCCCTCCTTCACTCCTAGGTGTACACTGCACCAGCAGACTTTCTGTCATATCTGGGGACAGGCTGGGTGCTATCAGTTTACTGGAGGGGGAGGACATTTCCCCAGGGCTTCAGATCACATTCCAGATGTCCACCAAAAGTCTTTTTTTTTCTGGAGACAGGCTGGACTGCAGTGGTATGATTTTGGCTCACTGCAACCTCCACCTCCCGGGTTTAAGCAATTGTCTGCCTCAGCCTCCCAAGTAGCTGGAATTACAGGCATGCGCCACCACGCCCAGCTAATTTTTGTATTTTTTGTAGAGACGGGGTTTTACCATGTTGCCTAGGCTGATCTGAAACTCCTGACCTCAAGTGATCCACCCACCTTGGCTTCCCAAAGTGCTGGGAATACAGGAGTGAGCCACTGCGCCTGGCCTAAAAGTCTTATTAACCAGTCAATACCCTGTGTTTCAAGGGAGTGACAATAGATCATGGGACATAATTAAGCAAAGCAGCTGACCTTTGAGGAGATCCAAAATGAGCAGACGAGTAGGAGTTCCCATCAATCGAGGGATCCACTTGAGCCCCTAAAGGATTGCTTATAACAAGAAGGTAAACCTAGAGAAACCTAGAGGGAGTGGGGGACCAGGCAGTTAGAGTAGGGAACTCCTGAACAGAGAAGGATATTGTTACCTAGAGTGAAGGTAAAGTCAAGACCAGGCTTTTAGAACAGGACAGAATCCCAAGGAAGAGAACTATAGCACAAAGTCAGAGCCGGGCAGCAGGAGAGATAATGTAAAAAAAAAATCTGGCCTGGTGCAGTGGCTCACGCCTGTAATCCCAGAACTTCGGGAGGCCTAGGCGGGCAGATGACCTGAGGTCAGGAGTTCGAGACCAGCCTGGCCAACATGGTGAAACCCCGTCTCTACTAAAAATACAAAAATCAGCTGGGCGTGGTGGCGGGTGCCTGTAATCCCAGCTACTTGGGAGGCTGAGGCAGGAGAATTGCTTGAACCCAAGAGGCAGAGGTTGCAGTGAGCTGAGATTGTGCCACTGTACTCTAGCCTGGGTGACAAGAGTGAGATTCCATCTCAAAAAAAAAAATCTAACACTTTTAGTCTGCCAGGCATTGGTGTAAATATTTGTTAGTCCTCACAGTGAGCATTATAATAAGACAGGTATTTTTATTATCCCCATTTTACAGACGAAAAAACTGAGGTGCCACGAGATTAAACTTGCCCAAAGTCAACCAGTTAATAGATTGTAGAACTAGCACTTAAATTGAGATGGTCTAACTGCAGAGCCCTGTTCTTGATCATTGCACTTTGCAGTCTTGACACTTAATTATTGTGTGTTTGGCTCACGCTCCTAACTCACTCCTGCCTGACATCATCTTTGGTCCTAGAACCAAGTTGGCTGGTCTTGACTATTGAGCCTACTGAGAAGTCTGGCAGCACCTGGCTATGTTTCCAGTATGGAGCAGCTGCAAAGTTATAGTGTGTCACCATATCACCAAAATGTAAACAAGGCAGGAAAGACATCTAGCCATTTGAGTTTAGCGTAAAAGAAGATCCACACGGGGGAGAATTTATCTTAAATCCTCATCTAGAGAAACAGTTGGGGCTGCCCAGAAAAAGAACAGTAAGAACAAAACAATGACTGGAAAGTGGCTGGTGTGTTCATGTGGGTGTGAGTGCGAGCAGAAATGAAAGAGCTGTGAAGCCAAAAATTCAACCTTTGGAAGTGTTATTGCATTTTATGCAAGGGAATTCCTTTTTTGGTTGTTTGGAGAATTCTCAGCTTTAAAAATTGCTTTTATCTGTGATGATAAAGTTTCCCTAAAGTGGAGCAGCAATCAGGCATCCCCTACTTGCTGAATATTTTGTAAATAACAGGTAGAATTCAGTAGTAAGCCTTGCCTTGCATTCTGTTTTCTCCACCTCTACCCCAAGCATTTGTTAATTCAAATAAGCTGATAAGTAGTGAACCCTATTACTCACTCTCCACTGAGTACATGCAGATAGATATTTGGTTTCTTTAATGTAATCATTTTTTGCTTTATTTTTAATTTATTTTTACTGAATACTTGAATGGATTAGATAACTGGTATTTTTGTCAGATTTTTCCAAAATCATTGTTAAGACCCTACCTACTCATGTCTGATTTCTAAGAAGCAACTTTAATGTCCAGTGAAGTGTTTGATGTTTTACTCCTCAGGCAGCATAGGAAGGGGTAAAATAAGATATAAAGTTTCATAAAATAAGACCGTTATAAGAATTATAATAATGAAAATAAAATTGTTTTTGAGATGGAGTTTCACTCTTGTTGCCCACGCTGGAGTGCAATGGCATGATCTCAGCTCACTGCAACCTCTGTCTCCTGGATTCAAGCAATTCTCTTGCCTCAGCCTCCCGAGTAGCTGGGATTACAGGCATGCGCCACCATGCCCGGCTGATTTTGTATTTTTAGTAGAGATGGGGTTTCACTATGTTGGTCAGGCTGGTCTTGAACTGCTGACCTCTGGTAACCCGCCCGCCTCAGCCTCCCAAAGTGCTGGGATTATAGGCATGAGCCACCGTGCCCGGCCCAAAACTAAATTTCCTAATAGCAAATGTGATTGTCCTCCAAAGTCATTCTCCTATTGCTCATAAAATAGTAGCAACAACTCGTAAAGAAAAGTAGAATCATTTTGGCCATTTTGGGTGATCCATTTGAGTCAGAATTAAAATGTAAACCTTAAAAGCCTTTGTGAAATTTTTAAATTAGTAAATTAATAAATGGCCTCTGTGAAATTTTTAAACAGTATAATTCTGTATTTTCCTGTGCACTTTTGTGAATATGCAAGTTAAATGTATACGAAAGAAAACTACAGGACCTTAATAAAATGGATTATTGCTGTAAATAATCACTTCCTTAATTTTCTCATCATGTGTCTGTGGAGCTTTTAAATGCCTAAACACAGCAGCAGGCTGCTTTGCTTCCCGTGGAAACCGTTTAAGGCCATGGTTTTGAAAAAAATCTTCCTTGTCCCTATACTGAAATAAATACTACTTAGTTATTGGAGGTTTTAAGAGTACTGAATTTATATTGATTGCACCCTTTGCTTTCAACTTTAAGTAATAAACTCAAGTCAAATTATTTTTAATAATGACATGACTTTCTGATGAAGCCTGTCAAGTCACTTCCCAAATCATAATATTTAAATTCCATGCCTCAGGACTCCAGGCACTTTGTCTCAACTGCCATTATTAGGAAAGCATGGGGTAAGGCTTTTTTAAAAAGTACAGAGAATAAGAACTTGAATTATAGTGCATTTTTTTCAGCATTACTGCTTAGACTCTTTTCCCAGACACTTGGACTAAAATGAAGAAATTCCTATGCCATATGTCAATCTAAAGAGGGCAGAGGCTTGGGACTTCCCTGTAGTTGGGTGCTGGGTCTCTTCAGGGGTTGATTTAGTTCTACTTAAATTAAAGTTGTGACTTTTTCTACAGGTGGATGAAAGCCAAACTGGAGAACCCGGCTGGCTTGGAGGAGAATTAAAAGGAAAGACAGGGTGGTTCCCTGCAAACTATGCAGAGAAAATCCCAGAAAATGAGGTTCCCGCTCCAGTGAAAACAGTGACTGATTCGACATCTGCCCCTGCCCCCAAACTGGCCTTGCGTGAGACCCCTGCCCCTTTGGCAGTAACCTCTTCAGAGCCCTCCACGACCCCCAATAACTGGGCCGACTTCAGCTCCACGTACGTGTTGGTGGGCTCTTTCTGGTGATTTTTGAAATCCCAATTTGGTCATTTTTTCCCCCCTCTTAAGTATTTTCATAGTCTTGGATTGTCCTTCTGTGTGAGGGAGCTGGCTCATTTTCGATACTCCTTTCTCTGGCTGCCAAATTGGAGATTACAGTCCCTGAACTGGATTTAATGATGTCATTGCCCAACAGTGACTTACCATGGTACAAAATGAAGCCTGTTATCTTGTTTTGTTCAATAATGTATTTGTATCTATCATTCTTGTGGAAGAAATGGAGAAATACAGTTTCCTAATAATCTGTTTTGACATCCATGTCAGTCAGCAAATTTTCAGAGTCATTTCCTGCATGCAAATAGCACTTTTTTTTTTTGCCAGGGAGAAGCAAAAATTGAATTCAGTCATGTGGTTCTGAATAAGATAGAAAACTGTTTCCTTTAAAGCTTTCCACTTTCATTAATCTTACACAAATGTAGAATAGAATGAAGAGTTGTTTGCACTTGGCCATGGTTAGTTCTGTGCCCTGGTTCATCAGGGCATTTTAAAAACTGTGTGTAAGCAGAGGTTTGAAATGATAGATGAAATTGTTGTTCAAACTTCCTGTTATAGGGCCATGACCGAGATGAGCAATTGTCTAAAAATATTTTATACTAGGATACAATTATGAGTGATTTAAATAAGAAGTGTTTAAAATTTTTTTTCAAGTCTAATCATCTTTCAGAAGAAACATATTGAAGGCAAGGAATCCAGATGTATTGCTGGAGAAGGATCAGATGGAACAAAGAGAGGGAAGAAAGAATAACTACCCAGGGCGGGAGGAAGTGGAGGGAAGGATGTAAGGAATAGCAAGTTTTTCAAACTTTATTTTCACATAAAAGGCTGAAGGTGTTAAAGAAGGTCCCCCCATCTAATCTCTGCTGTAAGAAAAAAAAAAGCCTTCCATTAGCTTGACTTCCAAGTTGAAACTTTACCTTTCCTCTTTTGGTCTTGACTGAAAAGTTCTGAGTTTTTAAAACTAAAGCTTAGGCTAAAATAGAAGACCAATGCCATATTTTCCAGGATTTGTTTTACTGGGGATCAAATCAGTATGCCTCTTCTTCATGAAATGTATGGTGTGCAATTCTCTTGCTGTAATTATGGGCACCTTATTTTCCAAATGAAAAATCAGGAATTATTTTGGTTTTCAGTTTTGTTTGTGTATCTTATAAAGATGTAAAAAGTAAATTGCCTTTAAATCTGCACTCACACAGATACATTTATCTAAAATTATTTATTATTATTATTATTTATTATTATTTTGAGACAGGGTCTCACTTCATCACCCAGGCTGGAGTGCAGTGGCACAACCATGGCTCACAGCAGCCTTGACCTCCTGGGCTCAAGTAATATTCCTGCCTCAGCCTCCCAAGAAGCTGGGCCTACAGGTGCATGCCACCATGCCCAGCTAATATTTAAGTTTTTTGTAGAAATGAGGTCTCACTATGTTGCCCAGGCTGGTCTTGAACTCCTGAACTCAAGTGATCCTCCAGCCTTGGCCTCCCAAAGCACTGAGATTAGGGCATGCCACCATGCCCAGCCTGTTTATCTAAAATTATTAAAATCACAAAACTAGAACTGTCCCTGGGACCCAGGACAACTGGTTGCTGTCAGGATGCCATTTGTAATTGCTGTGGCGTCTAGGCATACAACCAGGTACTTACTATAGGATGCATGGGTCTGAGAAGTGGTGTTGAGAAGCTCCAGCTCCATAGGTGGCAGGTAGCTTCTTTTTTCTCATTTAACTATTGTTATTACAAATGATCATGTGAGGATATTTCTCCAGGGCTTTACAGTTACAGAGTATTTCCCTGGCCCGTATTTCATGTGACCCTCACAACTAACCTTAAGTGGCACAGTATTGTTCCCATTTTATCACTGAGGAAATCAAGATTCAGACAAATGCCTTTTCCTCTCCTCCTTGTTCTTTTATTTATTTTTCTTTTTGAGACAGAGTCTTGCTCTGTCACCCAGGCTGGAGTGCAGTGGCGCAATCTTGGTGGCTCGCTGCCACCTCCACCTCCCGGGTTCAAACAATTCTTGTGCCTCAGCCTACCAAGTAGCTGGGATTACAGATGCCCGCCACCACACCCAGCTAATGCGTTTTTGTTTTTTTTTTTCTTTTTGAGACCGAGTCTCACTCTGTCATCCAGTCCAGAGTGCAGTGATGCGATCGTGGCTCACTGCAACCTCTGCCTCCCGGGTTCAAGCATTTCTCCTTCCTCAGCCTCTTTAGTAGCTTGAATTACAGGCGTGTGCCACTACACCCAGCTAATTTTTGTATCTGTAGTAGAGACGGGGTTTCACCGTGTTGGTCAGGCTGGTCTTAAACTCTTGACCTCAGGTGATCCGCCCACCTCGACCTCTGACAGTGCTGGGATAACGGGCATGAGCCACTGTACCCAGCCTCCCCATTCTTTAACTGTAGAAAGCCACATAAATATACTAGGTTTGTGTTGCACAGGCTCATCAGTTACCATCTTTTTCTTTTTCTTTTTCTCTTTCTTTCTTTTTTTTTTTTTTTTTTTGGTACTTTACTGTGGGTAAAAAGCTGGCATGTTAGGGAGTGCTTGCTATTCATGGTGTTGTGCTTTTCCCTCCAGGTGGCCCACCAGCACGAATGAGAAACCAGAAACGGATAACTGGGATGCATGGGCAGCCCAGCCCTCTCTCACCGTTCCAAGTGCCGGCCAGTTAAGGCAGAGATCCGCCTTTACTCCAGCCACAGCCACTGGCTCCTCCCCGTCTCCTGTGCTAGGCCAGGTAAAGGCAGCCAGTGAGAGTGTGAAGACTTAGCTTGCTATCTAGTGCCAACAACTTCAGCAAATGCTTTTTGGCAATGTCATCTAGAAGCAAGCCTTGTTATGCATGTCTTGGTTGGCTGGCAGTATGGGAATCCAGTGCAGGAGCCAGAAATCTGCTGTGAATAGTTGGGAGTTGGGGATGGGGGTGGGGCACAGTCAACTTCTCCTGCCTGGGTTGATGAAGGAAACTTCATTGCAGAAGTGGCATTTGAGCTGCATCTTGACCAGTGGGTAAGATCTTACTACCAAATGGAGAGAGCCAGCATATCAGACAGAAAATGCTGGGAGAAAGGCTTTAAGGCAGACAAGCAGAATGTGTTTAAGGAAAATCATGCACCACTCCATTTGTCTAGACCACTGAGTTTTTACAGGAAAAGGTAGACCAATTAAAGGTTAATGGGAGGCTCTGAAATGCCCTGCTCGGAAATAATAAGTCTGAAAGGATAAAGGTGGTTATTCTGAATAGTTCTCTTTTGCTTGATACAATAATGATAAAATGCTGAAATTTCTATCAATAATCATGCTAAACAGCAGGTGCCCCTCTGGGAGGCACTGGAGGTTCCAGGATCGTTTCTGATCTGAGAACACCCAGATGGAACGCAGGCTCTAGGCAGATCCATCTGGGGGAGTGGTGTGCAGGAAGATTAGAGTAGAGGGCCGGCAGGGCAGTGCCACCAGTCAGGGGGCTGTTACTGTCACCCAGCTGAGACCCAGGGCAGGCCTGGACCCAGCTGAGTTCATGTTCACCAAGTGGGGAGGTGCCGGTGGAAGCAGAAGAGGCGTGCAGGTGGGAGAGACTGCAGAGAAGAGTGAAGAGATTGGAGTCACAATGCCTATGGGAGCCGAAGGAAAGGGAAGAGGGCTGAGATTGAGAAAAAGGGCCCACCTTAAAGGGAGAAAGGAGGAAGGCAGAAAATGCACAGTTAAAGGGAAGAGTTGGGTTTTAGTTGTGTTGAGTTGAAGGTGAATGTGGGACCCTGTCTAGCAGGCTGTTGGAACATAGATCTGGAGGGTGGAAGAGAGCACGAGACCGGGATTATAGATGGGAGCCATTCCCGTAGAGAACGTTATCGGATCTCAGGAAATGTGTGAGGTCGTCCAAGGAGAGAGAATACAGGGCGAAAATAGCAAATCCACAGGCACGTACATGTGTGTTCTGTGGCCTGGAAGAAGAAGAGGAGCTACTCAGCAGGAAATGGTACTTTCCTTTGCATCTGTCCTAGCTCAGCATTTGGCACGTGTCACATGCTCAGTTAACAGTGACTCAGTGACGGGGTGAGGGGTTGTTCCAGAAAGTGGAGGTGGGGGAGGGAGTTTGCTTATGTTATTAAGTACTGTGGTCAGGGCAAAGAAGAGACCATTCATTGTGACAGGTAGAGCTTTGTAACCTGGGAAGGAGAAGGATGAAACCACACTGCAGGGGCGTAAAAGGAAATGAGCAGCAAGGAAGTGGAAAGATCTGCAAAAGGAAAGAGGAGGACCAGAGTGGAGGGGCCTCAGGAAAGCAAGAACCAGCCATGTTGCCAGTGGAGATGGGGATGGAAAAGTGAAGTGTCAGAGGATATAGTTGGTATAAGGCAGACAACATTAAAGGCACAGAAAAGACAGGAGTCTTTTTCTTCTGGGTGAGGAAGAGTGAAAAGAGACTGGAGAAGATAAAGCCAAGAAAAATGTTCAGCTTGGGCTGTATGATACGGTTTTCAGTGAGGAAGGAGCCCGGAGGGGCTGCGGAGTGTAGAAGAGGTTTGGGAGCAGGCAAATGAGGGAGCCAACAAAGAAGAATGAAGAATTGGGCTGGCACGGTGGCTCATGCCTGTTATCACAGCACTTTGGGAGGCAGGCAGATCACCTGAAATCAGGAGTTCATGACCAGCCTGGCCAACATGGTGAAACCTCATCTCTACTAAAAAAATTAATAAATGCAAAAATCAGCCAGGCGTGGTGGTGGGCTCCTGTAATCCCAGCTACTTGGGAGGCTGAGGCAGAAGTATCGGTTGAACCTGGAAAGCGGAGGTTGTGGTGAGCTGAGATTGCGCCACGGCACTTCAGCCTGGGCGACAGAGCAAGACTCAGTTCTCAAAAAAAAAAAAGAAGAATTGCCTGGCTTAATTTAACCTGAGTCTGTAATAGATCATTGCACATTGCCTCAGCTTTCTCTAGCAATGCTTCACAGCTTGGGACTAGGAATAATAATATATAGCTCACCACTGTTATTTCTATCATAGCAATACTATGCATGGATCTTACTAAACTTCCTGCCCCCTCCCCACCTACACACATCTTACATTACCGTGGGATTGCTACACTTTAATAGCCTTTTGGAGAAAGTATCATTTCTACTTTACAGATGTAGAAATTGAGATTCAGAGAGATTAAACAGTTGCCAAAGCCAGAAAATTAGTAAGTGACAGACCTGGGATTCAAACCCAGAGTCCACGTCCAGCCCAGGCTGGGGTCATTAGGGCCCATCGATGTAGAAAGGTCGACACAGCAGACACGGGGAAGATTTCTCAGGGGGAGAGATTCTGAAATGCCAGTGAGGGCACAGTTGAAAGGCCGACCCTGGGGTCCATATGGAGAGAAGTCAATGAAGGGGCCGAGAGGATTAGACAGTGCAGAAGGGCTGTGGGATGAGGAGCTATGTAGGTGGCAGGTCCGCTGCAAGGGGGAAAATGCAAGGTCGAGAATATACAATCTGAGGGGTGTTCAAAATCCAGGGAAACCCCCTCAGCTCTGAGGGACTTGAAGGAGTGAATGTACAGCTAAGTGGAAGGAAATAGGATAGGGATGTTGTGAGTTTAAGGAGGTAAGAACCCATGAAGACCAGGAATTAGAGGTTATCAACATAGATGCTGAAACTGTTTGACCTGTTGTGAATTCTCTGTGCTTATCAGACATAATCATAACTTAATGTCAGTATAATATAAATAACTTCCGAAGGCAAGTGCAAATTGGTTCTGAAGTAACTCTCTCTAGGCATTGTCCTTTGTTCTTGCCCGTTCATACATATGATTGAAACTTGGTGTTTCATTTTTTACTAAATGCTTTAAAGTATTGTAATGGTTTAATGCTATAGCTTCTTGAAAGATAATAAATGCCTTACCCTGCCTTTCCAGCCTGACCTCCTCCTCCACCCCTCCATGAGACTAGGCCACATGCAGCCCCGGATTGTGCTTCTCTTCCCGGACCCCTTGCAGTGTTCCACCTCGAGGCCTTTGCCCATGCTGCGCCCTCAGCCTGGAGTGCCCTTCCTCCGAAGCCCTAGCTGTCAAAGTCCTTCTCATCCTTCAAGGCCCATCTCAGATGCTGCCCCCTCTATGAAATTTACCCTGATGCCCCCAGGCAGAATTCATCCCTCTTTCCTCTTTATTCCTGCAGTGAATAGTAGGAACTCCTTTTCAGTATATTGCATTCTGCCAGGTGGTACACATGGTTGTTTTTATCTCTTTCTTCCCCATTACTTGTGAGTTACTTGCTAATAATACTGCCCATCTTTATAGTGTTTTATGGTTAATAAAGTGCTTTTCCCTAAATTATTTGGGGGAGGCAAAGACTGTTTTTTTCATTTTTGTAATCTCATGGAGCAGTGCATGTAGATGTACAATAAATGGTAATTACAATGAATTTACGCTCACCAAATCCCTGTTTTCTCTGAAAAGGAACTAAAACAAGCATAATCCAGATAGGACCTATTTCCCTGGGTCCACCTAAACTAAAATGCCAGTTAATGATCTCATGATAGTTCATAAAATTTCTGCTCCAGTATTAATCCTCCACTAAAAACACCAGTCAAATTGGAAATGGGGAGGTATCCTGGGCAACTTGAGAGTAAAAATAGAACCAAAATTTAAAAGGCGCATAGATGCAACAGAATAATTGTGACCTCCTGGCTTGTTGAAAGAGAGAGTTATAGATGGTCAGACAGTGACTTTGTGAAGAGGCTGGCAGGCTTTTGCCTCCACTTTTGGAAATAAACAATTGTTGGGAAACAGTGAAGCATCCAGCGCTCCTGCTGTGCTGCCTCAGGGCCGTTTGTGGCCGTGTGTGCTTGTCTGGCCTGTGCTTGTTGGAGAGGTGCCATGTTCACGTCTGCCCTAATTGATAACAAACTGCAACGTAACGAGAGGTCCTTTATGTCATTCCACACAAGGGTGAAAAGGTGGAGGGGCTACAAGCTCAAGCCCTGTATCCTTGGAGAGCCAAAAAAGACAACCATTTAAATTTTAACAAAAATGATGTCATCACCGTCCTGGAACAGCAAGACATGTGGTGGTTTGGAGAAGTTCAAGGTCAGAAGGGTTGGTTCCCCAAGTCTTACGTCAAACTCATTTCAGGGCCCATAAGGAAATCTACCAGGTATTTTTGTATTTATCTGCTTGTATTTGATGAAAACAATATTAGGTGTTAAGTTACTGTTTGCACTAGTTAAGATTCACAGACAGGCGTTGCGGGATTAGTTTGTCTTCTAGATCTTTTAACTGCAAAAGTTAGAGTATAGAGAGTACCAAAAGGGAGCCTCTTACAGATAAGTGCATTCTTTCTTCCCTCATGAAAACCTGTGTGCCTTGTTTTTCATTGCCTTATGCAAGAAGGAATTCAGCTCTGAGACCTGGAACTCTCTTGTGCATTAGTTGGAGATTATGACTCTCTTTATGCTTATTACCCAGTGCTGTACCAGATATGTGTGAATACTTAGAAACCCAAAGGATTTGGGGAAATGATCAGAGAACTTAATTGTCTTTTTCATTAGGGTCTTATAGCATGGAACCTAAGGTTGTTAATTCCTCCAACCATATTAATGTTCAAAACAAACTATGAGCTTTAAGAAGATGAATATAGCAAAAATGTTCAATGAGCATCTCTCAGTCAGTCTTGCCTTGAAACAAACTAGTACATAAGCTATGTGTCCAGTATAGCAAAGTGCTGAAAAATAAGAATGCGAGCTTAGAGTCATGCCTCTGTATTACCTAATTATGTGTTTTTAAACTAGCTAAGTACAACTATTTCAGCTGTGAATTGTTTAAAGTTTTAAAAGTTAAGCAGTTTTAACAGAAAAATCAGTGTCAGGTGCACTATTTTCTTCGAAGATAAAAATTAAAACCTCTTTTCTTCCCTTACTGCAGCATGGAGTCTGGTTCTTCAGAGAGTCCTGCTAGTCTAAAGCGAGTAGCCTCTCCAGCAGCCAAGCCGGTCGTTTCTGGAGAAGGTGAGGGCCTGAGTTGTATTATGTTCTTCAGAAGGGTCAAGGACGTTGCGTAAATGTTTGAAATGAGATTGAATTTCATCTTAAGATAGACTACATTTATGATCAGTATATTAAACTACAGTAAAATGAAAGTTTAGCTCTTTACAGAATCAGAGTACTTCATGGAAAATACTGTCAGACATATTAATCATCAAAAACTGAATTTTCTAATTATATTTTATTATGAGCCCTTTGACTTTTACAAGAGACCCATTCAGTTCACTAAGAATCAAGTTTTCCAAGCATCTCTATACCTAAATTGTGGTCATTGCTTCATCTAACATAGTCTAGTCTCGTCTGACTTCATAGATAAGTATTTCATTTTTAAAAGTAACTACGCAGACCACTAGAGTTCTCACAGTAACATGAATGCCATCTGTACCATCCCAAATGAAACTGAAACTCAATTTATGTACTCCATGAAAACAACCAAACCAGACAATTTAGGACTAAAAAAAAATCATTTTGAGTGTTTATTACACAAATAATTGCCTTCTTTCTCAATCTCCACTTGCTGACATAATCCTAAATATTATATGGATGCCAACCGAACGAAACCTGTGTAATTCAGAACCTCATGGTAAAAATCTCACATCTTTTTTACATTCAGTACAGCCATCATCACATCCTAACTGGAGAGTGCTCCCTGAGTTAGATGGGTTTTCTGTGTAGACGTCTGAGCAATGTTGTAGTTAACAGATGCTGTAACTAACCAATTCTATAGTAATTCTTTATGGGTTCCTTGAATACATTACATGAGAATAGAATGTTTTATTTAGTTTGTCTGCCATAATGAGATTGTTACATTCCTTAGAAACCTTGCCCAATGAAAAATAGAATTATTAAAACAGCTGTTCTAGGTGGAGACAGCAAGGATTAAGGTATAGTGGTATTTCAGACTCACAGTAACAATGTTCTTTTTTCAAGAGGACTTTTTAAAGTAAAAATTTTTTTTAGTTCATAGCATAGCTATAAAACCTTATCATCACTAAACAATCCAGCATCTCCTTTTTGCTATTACCGTGAAAATGATTAACAGAGTTCCCTTTATACATTGTCATTATCTTAATGACTTTTTTATCCACTGTTAGGGTAACAAGGCAAAAAGCTCCTTTAAACACAGCACATGCAGTTAGTTTAGTAAAAAGCAAATTATGCACCTCACCAAAAAATAAGAAAGAAAGAAACTTTGGTGTGTTATATCCAGTCAAGGCTCACTGGAGGGCTGGAGTTTGTATCTTGACTCACCCATGTAGTAACAGTACTATTTTGTTTATGCCTTAGCTTCTTTGTCTGTAAATTGGCCGTGATAACTCCCCTTGAGGTAGGAAATTATTACAAGGATAGTGAGATAATATGCAGAAGGCCTTTAGAACAAAGCTCAGTAAATGTCTACTACTTTTATGTCGTTTTTGCTTCATTCCCTGGATTACTGGTAAAGCCACGTAACGTATGAGCATCCTCATCCAATAGCAGTGTGGAGGAATGTTTGTTTATTTTTGTTTTTTGTTTTTTTTTTGTTTGTTTTTTTTTTTTTGAGACGGTGTCTCGCTCTGTCGCCCAGGCTGGAGTGCAGTGGCGCAATCTCGGCTCACTGCAAGCTCCGCCTCCCGGGTTCACGCCATTCTCCTGCCTCAGCCTCCCGAGTAGCTGGGACTACAGGCGCCCGCCACTGCGCCCAGCTAATGTTTTCTATTTTTAGTAGAGATGGGGTTTCACCATGGTCTCGATCTCCTGACCTTGTGATCCGCCCGCCTCGGCCTCCCAAAGTGCTGGGATTACAGGCGTGAGCCACCGCGCCCGGCCTTATTTGTTTTGAGACATGTACTGAGGCCTCAATAAATAGGTCACAAGTGAACCACGCATATACTTAAAATTGGGCAGCATGATGGAGTTAAATTCTGATCTTAGTTTGTATCTATTACAGCCGTTTTGAAATGACTTAGTTATTAGAAATACTGGAAAGCTTGCTGGCTTTGTGAAAGGGTGGGAGGACATTAACCTTAGAAATTCTGAGAAAAGCTATTTTCGTTTATTAATGAGCCTCTTGTTAATACCACATTGAACATAATCAAATTTAAAGTAAACTGTAAACCAGATAAAATAGGTGATTGGCTTGGGTCACTTTTAAAATACTGGTTTGGGGATGGACAGTGCCCTCTGTGAAATGTCTCCTGAGAAGGGGTAGCTGAAGAGGAACCTCTGCCTATCCATCATCACGTCTCTGGGTTTCATTGTCACCCTAAAGCCACTCTCAGATGCCTTTGTGCAAGGCAGGCAGGGCAAGGCCAGCCTCGGTCTTCCCAGTCTCCTTTATATTTTATACTGCAATACCAAGTTCAGCCAGAGTTCATGTTTCTGAAGTTTCTTAAGCATTTGGAAAGTTACTTCAAAATTTGGATCCATTTTAAAGAAAGTAACTTTGAAGCTGAGGAATCACTGGGGAAAGTATTGATGGCCAAGGATCCTGTCTTAAATGGCCAAATATGATCTAAAGAACAGTAACAGGGAGCAGAATGAAAAGGGAAGGGTGAGAGTATGGAGAAATCAGAAAAATGAGTCTGTTAATGAAGAAAGAATGACCCTATTAAAGCCACCACACTTTGATTTCCTTGTGTGGGAAATCGTTTTTCCAGTTTTCACTGTGGAGGTGTGTGTTCCCAGTGCCTCAGGGGTAAAGACAGGGAGCCTTCTGTTTTCCCTGGGACGCTTGAATGACCTGTGTCTGCCATGGGGCCCAGTGCTCTCCACCAGCAATTGCTGCTGGCCTCGGCGCTGACAGGTCAACACTGGCGCTGAAGGAGGCCCTTGTTGCTCCAGGGGCTGCCCACGTGAGCACAAGGGTTAGAGGTTTTTGTGTTTTTGTCTGTTTGTTTTAGTTTTCATTAGTACCTCCTGCAGAGGCTCTGATAATTAACCGAAGGAGTTCTCCATACAAAAGTCCTGCCTCTTACTCAACACGAGGCTGGACATTAAAGGAACATCATCTGAGATTTAGAGAGAAACAGACGTTGTCCGTCATAAAAATGAACTTTTTGGGTAAATGGTGATTTTTCTGTTGCTTTAAAAAAATACAAACAAAAGCCTAGGATAAAATGGAGAAAAAGTGGAAACAAGAAGCATGTGCATCTTTCTGTAAATCTTTTATCCTGTACCTAGAACCTCCATGTAGGATTTTGTGTCTGGTGATCTTTCTGAGAGTGTGATTTGGTTCTAAGCCTTAATAAAATCCACCAAGAGTGATGCAAAGTTCTACGTCTAATTAAAAAGAAAAGTTTCTTCTGTAATGCACACCCTTCAAATTCAAGACACAAAGGAACATTAGTTCTTATTCTTTAAGACTAAATGACATGGATAATAAAATGTCATAAACTGGGATTTGTCTTTTTAACTTGTTGAAAGGCTTTCTGGGATTGGGTTGGACATTCCTTTTCTCATCAGTGCTCCCTGTGCTCTTGAATGACAACTAGATGCCCATTTTTAACTAAATAATATGTGTAACTCATTTTGTGTTCTAACAGCTTCCTATCATATTGTGTATATGGCACAATAGGACATAAGTTTTCAGGCAGTTGAATAATGAAAAGTATGTCTTATTTAATTTATGCAAAGGATTTATGCTATCTAACAATTTTTTAAAACTGTGACTTGGTACCCTCAAAACTGAAATACACATATTTAATATGCTTACCAAGAGCCTGCATCTGAATGCATCTGAACCAGTGCTCAGCACAGAGTAGGTATTGTGTAACTCTTAGTTAAAAATAAATGTAAAAACCATTTTCATTCAAAAAGAAATCATGACGCTGAATGGCAGATCACTCGTAAATACTCCAGTGTCGGTAAACATGCAGTTGGGTTTTTTGTTCCTGTGTCTGGGTCTTCCCAGGAATTGTCTCCCTGTCTGCAGCTACTGAACTTTTATGTGCACTGGGGGGAATGTGGAGCCCAGGGTATTCTGCAGCTCTGTATTTTATCTGTGACTAGCCTTTCTCTTGAATGGATCTTGTCCTAACTTCCTTGTTCGTAAACTTGCTTTTGCAAAGCTGTCTGGGATTTCTTTAAACAATCAAGCTCTCTCCGTATCTCAATATTTCTCCCCACCAGAATTTATTGCCATGTACACTTACGAGAGTTCTGAGCAAGGAGATTTAACCTTTCAGCAAGGGGATGTGATTTTGGTTACCAAGAAAGATGGTGACTGGTGGACAGGAACAGTGGGCGACAAGTCCGGAGTCTTCCCTTCTAACTATGTGAGGCTTAAAGATTCAGAGGTAAACCCACATTAACTGTTTCCTCTCCCTTTCTGTGCGGTGATTCTCTTTGCGGGGAGTCACGATGTTTGACAGTGGAACTTTGTTGGGTTTTGCTAAGTTCTGGAATGTGACAGTAAATCCAGTGTGACCTGTCATTGTTTGATTTTGTTACTTGGCACTGCGGAGTAAGCATTGGCTTCCCCCAAGCAGAACGCATCAGGGCTAAGTGGAGGCTGAGTGTGATGGGGCTGGTCCACATCAGCTGGGAGGATCATGTTCAGTATTAAGCTCTCTTCCTGCGTGTAACCGACTTATGCTTTGGAGTAAACTTTCTTGATTAGATCATTATGGTCACTGATTTTTAAATGCCCCAAGAATGATAGCAATATTTTGCCTGTATGAACAGAAGTATTCTGGTGATAATCGCCCCAGAATATTGGGTATTAGAAAGTTTTTAGAATTTCTGGTTTTGCCCACACAGCAGAAAGACACAAGATCTAAGAGATGGGTACACTTTTGACTAGGCCTTAGAATCTCCGTTGATCAGGACTGAATTTAAGTGCTATTATCTGTATAAATTGGAAGGGCTCCCACTATTGTTAAATAGAGCCCTAGAAGTTTGATCGCATAAACTGTGGTCTTAAGATAGTGCAAGTTTAATGGAATGGTGGGGTGGACTTACCACAGAGTATGGAAGTCAGTCTTGTAGGAGCCACTTGCACGTTAGTGGAGAGTTTCAGGGTATAAATGGAGTCACTTAACAGATCCAGTGCACATTTTAAAAAGCCAACAAGAATTGACTCATTTTTTAAAGCATTGACAGTCAATTCACAGTAATTTTCTTTTTCTCCTCATACCTCGTAGGTACTGAGAGAGAAAAGGCTGGCAGGGAGCCTGTAGGGGCCGCTTTCTCAGGAGTAAGCAAGAGGACAAAGTTCTCTATTTCAAATGCCAGTCGTAGAGGGTATACTGGGCTCTTCCATGTGCAGCTCCATGTGCTCGGAGCTGCTCTGAGGGCGAGGCTGGGCCTGGTGCCCTGCTCTAGTAGTCCTGCCCTTGGCCTGCTCACCTCTCCTGCAGCTCCCAGAAACGATTTTATTTGCCTGGATTTTGTTTTTTTAAGGGGTGGCATTGTTTTGCTTTTTGGTTTTTCTTGCTGCGGTCTTGAGAGCAGCTAAGTGGAATTCCCATGGATGGATTTACTTAAGTCTGCCCACCCTTGGAGAATTTGGCAGAAGCCTGGAAGAAAATAATTTTGCCCTGTGAGACAGCTGGCATACTGGACTTTTCAGACCTGGAAACAGAGAATTAAATTCTTCTCCAGGCCAGCAAGTCGTGTCCAATGAGAGTCATATAGATGATATTTCAGGGGAGTTGGGTAAAACCCTAAAAGCCAAACTTAATTTCTACTACCGTGCATGAGAACTCTTAAAGTGACTTGACTTTTTGGATCAGTTAAAATACAAAAGTTATTACTTGTAATGTATTTTAATAAGTTACAGTTTTCTACTTTAATAAAACCATCTGAAATAAATATTAGGAAAACACAGTGACTTTTTTTTAAGGTAAGTAGAGTTGTAAGCTACTTTCTTAACCACAGTCTTAAATTATTAGCCACAGAAGAACTAGCAGTACTAAAAATTTTTAGATATACATTTAGCGATACTATTCAATAATAATGAAAAAAATTAGAAAACTCAGCTCTTTCGTCCTACTTGAATGCAGAGTTCAGTGTAAAAGCAAAATATCTGACCAAACTTAACACCAGACCCAGCTTCAGATACCAGAATTGATGTCTGGGCATGGGGAGACCTGTCCCATCCTCCTTCCCTTCTCTGTATGGGCAGGTCTGGGGCACAGTCTGGGGGACTTTGCAGGTGCTGGGAGGACAGAACATGGCCTTCTGAATCCATCCCAGCTTATGGGACTGGCTGGGGTTTTTCAAAGGGAGCACATTGAAACTACTTGAACTCTACTGTTGGGTACTGCCAATTGCCTTGTTCTTTTTAGAATCGACAGGGAGTCGATTCTAAGCCTGTACTAGGAAAGTTAAGTGGTCACTGGAGTCTTGTTTCATTGGTATTCCTTTTTTTTGATATGCAGCCTATTGAAAAATAGTGAGAGATTGCTATTGTATAACTTTGTTTGTTAGTAAAGCAGAATCAGTGTAAAAATTTAACCCAAACTTTTCCTGGTAAATGGTTCTTAAATTTCAGTAAGCAAAATAAAGAGACTGTAAGTTGTGTTCCTGGTAGATAAATGGCATATTTTTATTCTTTCAGTAACTCATGTTTAGTTTACTAAGCCTTTTGTTTTGTTTTAATTGGAATACTTAATTTACTGCGAGATAGACTCAAGCATAAATTAATTTAGAATAAAGCACTTTGTAACAACAGATTCCGTTCTGGCTCCTGTCCTGCCTCTCGTGGTCTCTGTTGTTGGCTTACTTGGCTGGTTTAAAATTCCATGAGTATCCCAGAGAGGAATTCAACCCCAGAGCACTTTTTAAACACTTGATAGTTGGGAAGAAATATGCTCTGCCTCTCTGCATTGATAGAGAAATTTCAGTGTATAAACGCTGTGAAATTGAGTGGAAAGGCCACACAGGACAGCCACTGCCTCTTTGGATAGAGAGGGGTGAATAGGATGGGGGAAGAGAGGTTCCAGTTGTCCCTGTACTGTGTTAGTTTTTTAAAAAAGAAAGCTCCTGAAGCAAATGTGCAAAATATTAATATTTTAATGTGTTAAATCCGGGTGGTAGGCTCATGAGTTATATTCCCTGTACTTTTTATATGTGAAATACTTCATAATTAACCATGTGAAAATAAGCCCGAGCTTAGTATTTAGGACGTAAACTAACAGTCTTCCTATCCTGGAACCTCCTGTTAGATTTGACCAGGTCCAAGAAGTGCCTGTGCTCGGAGCCCTCTGGGCTCTTACAGGGCCCCATACTCTGCTGTTTTTTTCTCTTATAGAAACGAGTAAAAGCCACATGTTTTGAAGTACTTATTTTGTCCCATATTTTCCTGATCTATATCCTTGTGTCAGGTGATACAGTGCTGTGTTTTCCCAGAATGAAAAGTGGGGCTTTGGGGCTCAAGTGGGTTTGTGTCATCATTAATCGTTTTTAAAGTTGCATGATCAAAACTTCAGCATGCAAATGAGACCTTTTGCTCTGTTTTAAGGGCTCTGGAACTGCTGGGAAAACAGGGAGTTTAGGAAAAAAACCTGGTAAGTTACAAACCCTGATGCTTACTTTTCAATGTTTTGAATGTAATTGATAGTTGCTCCCCATCTTTGTGTATTAGGGCCAGAAGCCTAAAATAAAAAGAATCTTTCCTAAGAGTGGTGAGAGTAAGTCCTTTCCTTGGAATCCATTAATAATTTCACTTGGTTATGAGATTCGTCTGTTGCTTCACACATGAAGAGTGGAGACGTCACCTGACAGAATGTTCTCTTGGGTTGTCGAGAAATAAATCAGGTGAGGCCAGGTGCAGTGACTCACACCTGTAATCGCAGCAGTTTTGGAGACCGAGGCAGGTGGATCATTTGAGGTCAGGAGTTTAAGACCAGCCTGGCCAACAGAGGAAACCCAGTCTCTACCAAAAAAATACAAAAATTAGCCAGGCATAGTGGCATACACCTGTAATCCCAGCTGCTCGGGAGGCTGAGGCAGGGGAATCGCTTGAACCTGGGAGGCCAAGGTGGCAGTGAGCCAAGGTTGCGCCACTGCACTCTAGCCTGGGCGACAGAACAAGACTGTATCTCAAAAAATAAAATAAATACATAAATAATTCAGGCGAGATACTGGGAAGTTATAATACATGGAGCTGTAGGATTATGGACTCAACTGCTTCTCCGTCTTCTCTTAGGCTTGGTTAGCCCTTTTTCATTTCCTAATAATGCATTCCCAGGACACAAACAATGGAGAAGATTAGAGGAGCAACAGATACTATGTGAGTATAGGTCCTATTAATTTAGAAGCCATTGGATGGTTTTCCTCGGTACACATTGAAGGTACAAAATTATAGTCACACCTCTGAATCCAAAGTGTTTTAGTTTATTTCAATAAAATCACATGTGCTATAAATAGCAAGAAAAAGAAAAGAAAGCGGATGTGAAATAATATGGTTTCTGTGGCACGTCTTCCTGGTCTGGGTCATTTGAGCTTTTTTGCTATCATATCCTTAGGAAATTACAGGTTAAAACAGTCACTGAAATGCCAAAAGACGGATTTGCTTGTCTGTCTGGTGCCCAGCTCCAACTGGGCTTACATGGCCAGAAAAAGAAAGGGAAATTTCACATAGTATAGGATTTTATTTTAGTCAGACAAATGCAGTCAATGGAAGGAGATACATTGGACCACCCACCAAATCTCTGTTTTAAGTGTAAGTTTTCTAAGTTTTGGACATTTGTCATTCCAGAGGGTCCAGATATTTCATAGATGATGCCCAGGTGGGCTTTACTTTGTACTGAAACTAGCAAGAAAGGACACAAAAGACCTCAGAGAATGTTGGGGCAGATTGCTGGCTGCATCTGCCAGGTCCCATGAGGAGCAAGAACATCCAGTGCCAAATAGAACACTAGTTTGGTCTTTCTTCAAGCCATAAACTCTTGGAACCAAGAGCTGGTCTTTGGTTTGTTGCAGTAGAGTCCTCATCCCAGTGCAGACATCCCAACTGGAGCTCCCAGTCAGAGCCTAGGCTGGGCCAGTAGACTGTGCTGTGGCCTTTCTTGCTTGCCCTGAGCTCTCCAAAGCATCAGGCAGGGCCAGGCCTGCACCGTGACTGCCGGGTGCTTCTGTCCTGGTGGCCAACCCCTGATAGCATGCAGAACAGGATGAGAGCGGCTTGCTTAAGGGCCAGAGTCTTACTCGTTCCCTGGAGTGAGTAGAAAAGTAGGCAATCTCGTCAGAACCTGGGACCTTTTTGCGTTCTTCCTTTCCATTCTTCTTTACTTCATTCCCTCTTTCTTCTTTTCTTTCTGTCCTTCTTTCCTTCTTTTCTCCTTTCTTTCACAGACCACACTTGGAGAGCAAGGGTAGAGGAGTAGAACAGTTTGTTCTGTATTGCTTCTAGAAGTTCAGAAAGCATAGCTGCAGATGTGCCAGAACTCAGGGAGAGAAGGGTTCTGTTTTTTCATACTCGATCTCCTGGGCCAGGGGAAATGTGTGTTTCAGAGCCTGGTCTGTGGTACTGCTGGAATTTTTCCCATGGGACTTTTCACATTCAGGAAAAGTACAGAACCGTTTACATTTTTTTCCCTGTGCTGAATTGTTTTTGCATAAAGTTCCCTTCTTAACTCCAGGTCCCTCCTATAACGTGAAATAAAAAGAAAGACATTTTCCCTGCCATGATTTGCACCTGATATTCAGGGATCACTCAAAATGTGAGGCATAAAGAAGAAGGCTGTGTCGTTGGGAGTGAGAATCTGCAGCAACAACATAGAAATAAGCTCTTGCCGGGCTCCCAGTGGTTTCTGAGGAAAACAGGCTTCTGTTTCTGCTGTACTTGGCAGCTGGGAAAGCTATGGAGTCCTCCAGTCACTTTAAAGTGGCAGCTCAGCCATTGAGTGCTGCTGTGCTGGGGTGGGTGGCAAAGGAGGCCCCTACCTGTGGCCTCAGGGCATTCCCGGTAATTATGGGAGGGGTGTGACAGAAGGTGCCAGGAGTGGGCAAGGAGCGGACTTTGTGGAGGGAAGTTGGTAAGTTTTGCGGGGTGACAAGGGAGTCTGCAGCCCACTGAGGGCTCGAGGATCAGCCAAGCCCTTGAATGCCGTGTCTGCCTGGTAGCTCTGGGAACAGGGGCGATTCAGGGAGCCTTACTCGTTGAGTAGAAATCCAGCCCAATACATTGGTTTTGATGTGTTCATCTGTGAACCTGGGAGGCGCCCACATCTTCTTGCCCTTTTCTCCTGCTGACTCTAACAGTGCACTGCCATGTTTGATCTTGTTTTTCAGAAATTGCCCAGGTTATTGCCTCATACACCGCCACCGGCCCCGAGCAGCTCACTCTCGCCCCTGGTCAGCTGATTTTGATCCGAAAAAAGAACCCAGGTGGATGGTGGGAAGGAGAGCTGCAAGTCAGTGTCTTTTCTCTTTATTTACAATTCTCCATCCAAGTTTCAATACACAAAATCTCAAAGGGACGCTATTTTATTGTAAAGTACAAACCACCCCTCACTGCCTAAATTCTGTATTTGGATAGTGAGAGATGCCAAATTTTCTGTATTTGTTTAGTTCCTAAGTTTCAGACAGCTGGTAACAGATTTCTGAGAGCTGGGAGCTCATATGAAAACATATCTGTTCCATTTCTGAGTTCAGATAGTGAGTGTCAGCATAGTGAGAACTCGTATGATGAGGGACGCCTGCATAGCATCGTCCTTATGTGCCTTGGCATTAGAGAGTGGAGCTTTTCCTCAGTGGCACAAGAGCAGGTTTCTTTGCATTCAAAGCCACATCCATACATCACAGTATTTTTAGTTCCTGTGTGTGTGTGCGTGCGTGCGTGTGTATTGTTAATCATATCATCTTGTTACACATTTTACCATTCCAGAAACTTCCTATAGGTCTCATTTCCAGAGACAAAGATGCTTTAAAAAGATTTCTGTTACACAGTTCTCATGGTAAAACTTCCTAGAATCATCGATGGATGCCAAATCTGCAGGAAAATTTTCAGTAGGAGCAGTAAATGTGCATGGTCTTGAAGTGACCCCCACAGATCACTCGTGATCTACAGGGGAAAACACAGTCATTATAAAGTGGAGAGCTAGGACAACACCTGAATGAGGTGATCAGAATGATGAGCAGTGGGGAGACCAGAGGACATCATGTGTGTGCAGCTGTGCCGGGAGCGAGGAGGGAGTGACTGTTCTTCAAAAATGTCACGATCGTAGAAGTCAAAACCTGTCGAAAGGGTGCTAAAGAGGCGTGAGGACTGACTACAGTATCTAGACTTAGTGCAGTATCTAGACCGTGTGTGAAAGAAAATCACGCTGTAAAGGACAATATTGGGATAATGGACAAAATTGGGTTATGGACACTAGATTAGACAAAATTATTGTACCGGTGTTAAATTTACTGAAAGCAGTAACTGTACTGTGGTTATATAAGAGAATATTCTTATTTTTAGGAGATACACGTTGAAGTATTTAGGGGTAAAGAGTTAAGATGTAAGCAACTTGCAATCAGATGATTCAAAAAAAGAACTTACAGAGAAGAGGGTGGGGAGGGAGAGAGAAAGCGCACAAATGAGGGAGCAGCTGGCACCCACCGAGTGTTGACAGTAGGTGAATTCGGGTAAAGGGCCTACGGGTGTTCCGTGTGCTTTTCTTATTCTTGCCGCTTTTCCGTGAGTTTGAAATCGTTTCTAAATAAAAAGTTGCCTTTAAAAAGTTACTACTACAGCAGTTACTTGAGAGGTAAGCCGGCTGACTTTTCATATGGAAAGTGTGTCTCCCTCCCCGCATCCTCCCCCATCCAAAGTGAAGATCAGCCTCCGACCGCCAGGCGGGCACCTGGCCACCTGCTTCAGAGCTTAGTGAAGGACGGGGCTTGCTCCCTGGCTTGCCCATGTGGGGCCTGTGGAAGAGCTGAATTTCCCAGCAGGCGTCCATCTCTCTGGCCTTTGTTGAACGTGGGCCTCTGCGTAACACAGGGGGCCTCAGTAAGACTTGGCCAGATATAGGAAGGAATGGTTTCTGGAATGCTTTGTGAGGAAGGGGCCTGTGGGAACCCTTTGATAGCCATTAGTGGGCCTGTAGACTGACTTCCCCAATCTGCTGGTGTTTGTCTGCCCATGAGCAGGACGGTATGGAACTATGTAAGTTTGAGGGGGAAGAGGGAGGCAGGAAACCTTTGCCGTGCAGTGGGCTAGCCACGGAAGACAGACCCTCGGGTGCTGAGGAATGGGGGTTAGAACAGCAGGAGCACGAAGGAAGAAGGCCTTGCTGGGGAAGGCCTCGGGTCTCACACAGTCCCGTCTACCACTCTGTGGAGGTGAGCCTGAGGCCGGGACAGGAAGAGCCACACTGGAGAGCTGAATATATAAGAAATGCATCTTGGCCAGAATAGAAGGCACAACCTGGAGTGTAACTGAAGATGAAACTTCCCCTGGGGAGCTCGCTGGTGGACACCCATAATTGTCCTTTCCAGGAGTGCTGGCCAGATGCTACTCACTGGTTCAGGAATCTGACCTCTGGAGGCCTGAAAATCCACTCCTTTTTATCAACATGCCTTCTGCTGTGCTGGGGAGGGAGAGGCCTCCTTAGACCCTCAGGTCCCACTCCCTGCTTAGAGTTGTGCTGTGTCACCCATTGGCCCTGCCAGCATCATGCCTCTGTCCTGTTCTGGAGACATGGGAGACTCCCATCGCCTTTCCTCCTCGCCTGCCAGGGGAAGGCTTCCTGCAGGGCCCCTCTCCCCAGTGTAGCCTCACGTCTTACTGCTGAGCAATGACGTCTCCACTCCAGCGTCTTTGAAACACCAACACGCCCTGCTCTTCTGCCTCGCTGCCTTTGTTCATGACATTTCTCCCCAGGGGCCAGCCGACTCCCACCTCTCCACTTCCCGCAAGAGCTGGCAGATCCCACTTCTGGAAGCTCTCTGTGACCATCCCAACCAGAAGTGCCGTCTCCCTCCCCTGAGCTCCAGCGGTGGCCCCGTGCCAGCACCACTCTTTAGTATTTTATATTACTTTGCTTTCTGTGCACATTTCTTATTTCCACATGTAGCTGACTAGCCCCTTGGAGGCAGCAGCTGTATTTTTCAGTCCCCACACCTCTAGCACTGTGCTAAAGTGAGAGTTTGAGTGGTTCTTAGAATCCACAATAAAGAGGCTGAGTTGCCATGGCCCAGGAGAGCTCCTGGCGCTGTCACCAGAGTGACTCTCCGTGTGGATCCACCAATGAGGAAACACCAGCGAGGTCTGTGCTCTGCTGCAGAGGTGTGGGAAAGGGTGTCACTGCGAGCAGAATGGTGGTACACTCGGTGGATAAACGTGGAAACGTAACCAAATGGCTTCAGTCATCGGCAGGTTCACTGTGAACGTAAAAGCTTTAGTCCTTGAGCCAAGGGAATGAAATCTGTCAGACCTCAAGGAAAAGTGAAGCCTGCTCTGTATTCTCAAAGTGACCCAGAGGTATCCCTCTTGATAAATTGGCAGGTGGGAGGGCACAGGTAATGTGGTAGACGTTTTCTTTTTGTTTTATTTCCTTATTTGGGGAATAGGTAATTATAGTCACATGGTTTAAAATTCAAAAGTTATGAGGGAATATAAATGTCTCCCTCCCACCCTTGTCCCCAGAGGCAGCTGTTTTGATCAGAGCCTTGTTTCTAGACGTGTGTGTGTGTGTGTGTGTGTGTGTGTATGCATGCGTGTGTATGCACGAATAGTTTTGGGTTCTCTTGGTGGTGTACAGAAGGGTAGTCAAAGCCCGACTCATGATCCCTAACTCGAGTCTTTTCATGGGATTGTGTCCTAACTGCAAAACCTGCCTCACCAACTTGGTTGCAAACTCCCCTGGTTTACAGGGACAGTCATCTACTGTCCCTTTCTAACAGCATGGTGCAGAAACACTGCATAGATGAATCTTGTGTTGAATCAGATTGAATTAAGTGAGAAAGAAATGGCAGTGAAAAATGTGGCTTTAGCCATCACATGGGCCTACGGGTTTGTGAAAATAACATCAAGTCTCCTTGTGTTCTGTGTGTACTGCATGTGTGTCATCTTGATGTATATTACCCATAAAGGAGCATGCAGACACATGAGTGCATCTTGGCTTGCCACTAACTGCCTGTGGCCTTGGGGCCGTCACTCAACTTTTCATCTGGAAATTGGGAATAATGATAGTACTATCCTTCTGGAATTGTGTGCCTAAATGCACAGGGCCTGGCTCACAAAAAGTACTCAGTGAGGGCCAGGTGCAGTGGCTCACGCCTGTAATCCCAGCCCTTTGGGAGGCCGAGGGGTGCAGATTACGAGGTCAGGAGATTGAGACCATCCTGGCTCACAAGGTGAAACCCTATCTCTACTAAAAATACAAAAACAAAATTAACCAGGCGTGGTGGTGGGTGCCGGTAGTCCCAGCTACTCGGGAGGCTGAGGCGGGAGAATGGCGTGAACCTGGGAGGCGGAGCTTGCAGTGAGCCTAGATTGTGCCACTGCACCCCAGTCTGGGCAACAGAGCGAGACTCCATCTCAAAAAAAAAATTAATTAATTAATTTTAAAAAAAAGAAGTACTCGGTATTGATGGCCATCATCATTATTATTATTATTGTTCCTAAAACCCATATACAGTGTTGGCATTAACCATAATGTCTGCATTACCTGAAATTAACAGCTGAGTGCTAGCATTACATGAGCAGAATTTTCTATCCCAGACAATCCATGGTATATCCTGATTTTGTGATCCACACGGTCTAGCCCAAGCAAAAACATTCTGGGCTTTGCTGACCAGTGATTGCCACAATTTGAATTTTAGCTATAGTGTTTTACCTTTGTGACACAGTAATCCATAGATTTTACCTTTAATGTCGTTTGTTTTTCAGTTATATGTAAGCTTTACATAACTGCTGTGTTATAAAGTGAGCTGTATTATAAAAGATGAGCCTTTAAAAATGTTTGATGTAATTATTTTCTTACCAGGCACGTGGGAAAAAGCGCCAGATAGGCTGGTTCCCAGCTAATTATGTAAAACTTCTAAGCCCTGGGACGAGCAAAATCACTCCAACAGAGCCACCTAAGTCAACAGCGTTAGCGGCAGGTAAGGAGTTTCCCGTTTCTAACTGGAAAATGGTCTGCGTGTCACTTGAGTTTTTCCACTTGATTTCCTCATTAAATATATTTACGTTGTTTTTCACATGTGCTTTAAAGCACTTCTTGTACTTGCTGGGACTGACACCCAACTAATGTGATACGGAATATGTCTTTCGAAAGGACCAGATATCTAAGTGGCTTTTCTGTGCTGCATACAACAGAACCCTTGTTGGAATGCTCTTCCTGCAGGAGTCATGAATGCTGTGGCATTAAGGCCACATTTTCCTCTTGATTTCCTTCCAGCCATTTACATTGGGGTTTAGGCTAGGGGGTGAGGTGACAGAAAGGGACACCCAAAAATAAATGGCTGGGGTCTCAGTAGGTCAGGAGATGGAGCTGGGGGCCACGGGGGTTGGGGGCTGTAATGTGGTGTTCACTGAAGACCAAAATAGCTCCCCTGTGACATTCACTGTGAGCAGAGGGGCCTCCACTGGGTGGGCAGGATGTTGTACACACTTTCCTGGAGGACTGGAAAAGAACAGAGCACAGCAGTTGGCTGTTTTCTGATTGAAGGGACCAAATTAGATGCTTCAGCAAGATCTGAGAGAGCTGAGGTCAGGGGAGCAGGTTTCTGTTTTAGGTCTTTAAGCTACCCATTCTTGGTTGGCTTTTGTGGAAAGTGTAGAATTTTTGTTCCAATACCTTGTGGTTAAATATCTGTGCTGTATGTACCCAATGAGATAAGATTAAAACCTGGCAGCCTTCTCAAGAAATTAAAGGATGGGCAAACTTTGTGATGAACCCCAGTTCCCACTGGGCCTCTATGCTTGAGCTGTGGCCTCGTGTAAGCTGAGGAATGTGGTTCCTGCAGGGTTTGCTGTCCCCTGGGGAGATGTGTCAGTATCCCTCCACTTCCATGTACAGCCCCTTCCTCAGGCCCGATGAAATCAGTTGCTGAAGTGATTGAATTAGCTGGAGAATTTGAAAAGCCTAAACCTATTTATATAGGCTGGTTAAGAAAGATTCACAGGGACTGTGACCTGTTGGTGCAGACTCATCTGAAGTAGAAGTGCCAAGGAATGAGAACAGTTTTACCTCCTATAGGCTTGAGAGAAAATGAGAAAAGAAAAATTGTTCTTGAGGGTGGAGATTTCTTTCAAGACAACATTTTGAGACGCAAAGATACAGCAGCAGGAAAATCTTTTGAAACACTGGTTTTAGGCATGATGTGGTGGCATGCGCCTTGTAATCCCAGCACTTTAGGAGGCCGAGGCGGGTGGCTCTCTTGAAGCCAGGAGTTCGAGACCAGCCTGGCCAACATGGTGAAACCCCGTCTCTGCTAAAAGTATAAAAATTAGCCAGGCATAGTGGTGCATGCCTGTAATCCCAGCTACTCAAGAGGTTGAGGCCTCTTTCGAAAGGACCAGATATCGGTTGAACCCTGGAGGTGAAGGTTGCAGTGAGCTGAGATCGTGCCACTGCACTCCAGCCAGGGCAACAGAGCAATAAATAATAAATCAATCAATCACTAGTTTTAGTTCTCCCTAAGATTTGGGATTCTTGGTGGTCAAATGATGATTACCTTCTACTTTAAACCAAAAAGGAAAAATGATAGTAAAGTCCCTATGACACACAGCTGTCCTGTGCAGCAGAAGATGGGATGGGGTTGGGCCGGTCTTTCTGGAGTCAGCAGTAGAAAGGAGTTCCACTGCACTCGAAACGAAAGCCCTCGATTAGCACTGTACATCTTCTGCTGACAAGTAAACATGAAAAAGAGGATGATATTATAAAAGCTAAAGACTGGCCGGGTGCAGTGGCTCACACCTGTAATCCCAGCACTTTGGGAGGCCGAGGCAGGCGGATCACAAGGTAAGGAGATTGAGACCATCCTGGCTAACACGGTGAAACCCCGTCTCTAACTAAAAATACACAAAAATTAGCCAGGCGAGGTGGCAGGCACCTGTAGTCCCAACTACTTGGGAGGCTGAGGCAGGAGAATGGCATGAACCTGGGAGGCAGAGTTTGCAGTGAGCCGAGATCACTCCACGGCACTCCAGCCTGGGCGATTGAGTGAGACTCCATCTCAAAAAAAAACAAAAAACAAAACAAAACAAAATCCTAAGACTTAGTGTGAAAATTTTGCTGTTGTCTTGGTTTTTAATTCTTCATCTTCCCCTATTGCCCACACTGCAAAAAGCCCAATAGAATGCTTCCACCTACTGTCACCCTCTTCTGAAAGTACAGAAAGAGTAGCTGGGAATGTTGAACGGCTGCGCGGTGCCCGTTGCGCGTTCTTCAGTGGGTGTGCAGCCGCTCACCCAGCCCTGTCTCCTGCAGTGTGCCAGGTGATTGGGATGTACGACTACACTGCGCAGAACGACGACGAGCTGGCCTTCAACAAGGGCCAGATCATCAACGTCCTCAACAAGGAGGACCCCGACTGGTGGAAGGGGGAAGTCAATGGACAAGTGGGGCTCTTCCCATCCAATTATGTGAAGCTGACCACAGACATGGACCCAAGCCAGCAATGTAAGTGCCCTGGTGGCTCTGTCGCCTTGCCTCTCTGGTATCTTCCGGTAAAACATGCAGCATTGCTCTGATTCTGCTGAGCTTTGTTTGCAGAACTTAAAGCTAGACCATTGCTGCATTCGCAATCGTCTCTTTGAAGACCTTCTGTAATGCAAGAGTTTAACTTGTGGGGTTTTATTTTTCTTTAATTTTCATTCCTTCTGTAGCATGTCCCCTCCCTCCCCTCCCTCCTTTTTCCTTTTTTTTTTTTTTTTTCTCCAAATCATTTTGGCACCATGCTGTTTACATGCCTGACTCATTTTCCTAGCTTGAATTTTGCTCATTGTTTTGTTTTGCTTATGTGTTGTTTTCCTCCTTTTTCTAGGAATCATATGTTGTCCATCCCCCCCTCAGGCTTGAAAGTCCTCAAAGAGACCCACTATCCCATATCACTGCCCAGAGGGATGATGGGAGATGCAGCCTTGATCATGTGACTTCCAGCATGATCACCTACTGCCTTCTGAGTAGAAGAACTCACTGCAGAGCAGTTTACCTCATTTTACCTTAGTTGCATGTGATCGCAATGTTTGAGTTATTACTTGCAGAGATAGGAGCAAAAATTACAAAAACACACAGGGTAGTGGGTCCTTTTGTGGCTTTCCTAGTTACTCAAATTGACTTTCCCCCACCTTTGCACAGGTGCTTTCAATAGTTTTAAAATTATTTTTAAATATATATTTTAGCCTTTTAATAAACAAAATAAATAAATGACTTCTTTGCTATTTTGGTTTTGCAAAAAGACCCACTATCAAGGAATGCTGCATGTGCTATTAAAAATTGTTCCAAATGTCCATAAATCTGAGACTTGATGTATTTTTTCATTTTGTCCAGTGTTACCAACTAAATTGTGTAGTTTGGGGCTTTCCCCCCTTGCTATAGAAGTACAGAGGAGTTCAGTATCTCTGTTTTAAAGACGTGTAGAATGAGCCCAATTAAAGCGAAGGTGTTTGTGCTTGTTTGTGTGTATCAGCTGTACCTTGTTGAGCATGTAATACATCCTGTACATAAGAAATCAGTTCTTTCCATGGCAAAGCTATTACCTTGTACGATGCTCTAATCATACTGCATTTGATTTGATTTTGCACAGTGACCCTGTAGCCACATGAGAAAGCACTCTGTTTTTGTTTGGTCTCAGATTTATCTGGTTGAGTTGGTGTTTTGTTTGGGGTTTTTAATTTTGCGTGTTTGCATCGCATAAAATCAGTAGACAACACCGTTGAGGTCGTTAGGATCAACAATCTCCACAATCTCTTTTTAGTCTCTGTTACATGAAGTTTTATTCCAGTTACTTTTCATGGAATGACCTATTTTGAACAAGTAATTTCTTGACAAGAAAGAATGTATAGAAGTCTCCCTGCAATTAATTTCCAATGTTTACATTTTTTAACTAGACTGTGGAATTTCTACAGATTAATATGAAATGGAGCTCATGGTCCGTTTGTGTGTTAGATATGCTGTAGCCGAAGCCCTGTTTGTCTTTTAAACACTAGTTGGAAGCTCTCAATAAAAATGCCTGCTGCTCACGGCACAGAAAATGGGGCAGGGGGAGCCTCAAGCACAATCTAGCTGTCCTCCTAAAGACTCTGTAACGCGCGCTCCCCTCGCGTTCTCCCGGCGGTCGGGAGGCTGTGCTGGTGGTCGTGTAGAGGTCCTTCTCCTTTCACATGGTGCAGAGAGCGAGGACCTCTCCTCCTCGTTCAGTTGCGCTTCAGTATTTTCACGGATATGAATGTAAAATATATAAATATATAAACCTGCGGCTTTAACAACTGTAATACAACCTTTTGAATTAGTTACGTGTATAGATAATTAAATTCTTCATATAAAAGTTAGACGGAAATGTCTCTGTGTTCTTGATGTTGGAACCTGGCAGTGGTGGTGAGGAACCAAGCAGACTAGATATCAGCAGTGTGCTTGCTGCCCGCGTGTCAACCATGACCTGTGCTCTTTGAAATACAGACATAATCAGAGGCTCGCTGAGTCTTTGTTGAACAGCCCTCCCTGTCCCCTTACTCTCCACCCTCCCTGATCAATATGCAAACGATCATTCTTTATAATACCAGTTTCGAAGCATAGAACTCTGCCACCCAGGTTAGCAGTTCACTGTCTCACCAGGCTTTTGATATAAGTTGTCGTCGACACATTGAGGGTGTGTAATTGGGCTCAGGGTACAAACCATTTGTCCAAAAGATGTATCATAATAAGGTACTGGTGAACACCCCCAAAAATATGTGGGTAAAGACAGAAACTTGCACATGTCCCACGTTGTTGTCTGGGATCAGCTTCTGCCTGGCACACTTTGCAGAAATAAACCAGCGTCCACATTGATGCCACTGTTTGCTGCGGTGACCACATGCTTGATTCCATCCTCATGAGCTTCACTTATTGGACCTCTCCTGCCATTCAGTGGAAAAGTGGTTTCCCTCATCAATTTAGCAGATAATTGGTGGGGGGTGGGGATGTCTACCCTGTGTCGGGTGCCCCATTGGCTTCTGGGAGGAGTGTGGTACTCCATGGAAACAGGGTCCCTGTCTTCATGGAGTTCATATTTTAATGGGAGGAACAAACAGAAAACCAAACTCCTGCAATCCATATAAATATACACAGTGTGTGTGTGACAAGGTGACAAGTTCTGCACTAGAAGTTTGGATGCGAGGCACCACTGAGCAGACTGGCAGGGCCAGGGGAGGGTGGCCGCAGGGAAAGGATCAGAGAACCTTCAGGGGGTGGGGCGGGGAAAGCCATTTGAGCTGAGACCTGAAGAGTAAGGAGGAGCCAGATGGAGTGGGGGAAGAGGTGTGGCTATCGTAGATGGAGTTGTCAGGACATGCAAAGGCCCAGAGGTGGGTGGAGAGATCCTTCTCACTGTCCCCCAGGCCACCCCCTTGCGGAGCAATGGTTGAGTCTGCAAGTCCCGTCTCTTCCCCAGGACCCCTTCAGCTGTGTAAGCCAGTGTTGCTTCTCCAGTCTTGAGTTTGGCTGGAAGGGATGCAGTTGTCAAGGTGGGTACTACTCCATAACACTCTACCTAACTCACTCCAGAGGCCCTGTGCCCTCACCATAGGCCATTCCCCCAGGCTTGCCTCCAGCTTTGTGAAGCTGACACGGGTTGTTCCCCCAGGAAGCTGTGCTTTCCCCCTACAAATCATTGAGTTTGCATTTGGTTGTATCCATTGGACCCCGTGATTCTCAGCCAGTGGAAGTGCTGCTGGGATCTCATGGGTAGAGTCAGGGATGCTGCTCATCATCCTGCAGTGCACAGGACAGTCCCCGCAACAAAGAATGATCTGGCCCCAGATGTCACCAGAGCTGAGGTTGAGAAGCTCAAGTCTCACCCCACTGGCCACTGTGGTTAATGTTCACCTGGTTATTCGCCACCAGAAAGGCTGCCCCGGTAACTCCTGTTGAATAAATTTAATCACTTAAGCTCATGTCATGTATCTGCAGCATCAAAAGTATCTCAGAACCTTTCTTTTAAATTTCAGAATCTTATTCTTGTTTATTATCTCCCATACTCTGCACTTTCATACTGTATTAAACTACTTGAATCATATTCACAGAGAATCTGGTTAACAGAAAATTGAGTACAAGGGAAAGAAAGCATCTTCTAATAAATTAGTGAAGGGATACTAGGTATCTCCTATGGTCTCAGAGTTTAAAGGTGTCAGGTTTTGGTTTGTTTGTTCTTTAGCTTTTTTTTTTTTTTTTTTGAGACAGTCTCACTCTGTCACCCAGGCTGGAGTGCAGTGACATGATCTCGGCTCACTGCAACCTTCGCCTCCTGGGTTCGCCTGCCTCAGCCTCCTGAGTAGCTGGGATTATGGGCGTGCACTACCACGTCCAGCTGCATTTTGTATTTTTGGTAGAGACAGGGTTTCACCATGTTGGCCAGGCTGTTCTCCAACTCCTGACCTCAAGTCATCCACCCACCTCAGCCTCCCAAAGCACTGGGATTACATGCGTGAGACACCGTGCCTGGTCTAATTTTTGTATTTTTAGTAGAGATGGGGGTTCACCATGTTGGCCAGGCTGATCTTGAACTCCTAACTTCAGGTGATCCACCCACCTCGGCCTCCCAAAGTGCTGGGATTACAGGCGTGAGCCACCACGCCCGGCCTGTTTTTGTTTTTTGTTTTTTGTTTTTTAACTGATTATTAAATCATTTAATTTCATACTGGTCTGTGTAAATATATTTGCAAGTGAACTTTGGGTACAGTTTTGCTCCAGTAGCATTAGACAAGATGAGTCCAAGAGAGATTGTCTTCATTGCGCACTTACGAATCACTCTCCTCCGGCCGGCTGCCTCTCCGCACTGCAGAGCAGGGCCTGCAGAGTTGGGGAGCCATGGTGGTTGAGCTCCCCAAGTGGCCCAGGCCTCAAACTGCCTCTGCATAAAAGGGTGTCTGGGAGACGCCAATTTAAAGCAGTAACTCAGCCCTATATTAAGTCACAAAATATCTCACCATTACATGCATGGTAGAAACTGGTGTCTGCCCTGTTTCTGGAAAGGAACCTGGGCAGACCCAGGCCGCCATAGCAGATAGTAATGATTGGGTTATCTCTGCCTTCGTTGATGCCATCAGAAGAAAAAAAGTAACACTAACTTAGGAAAACACTCTAAATATTAGGTTTAACCATATGAAATTGTCAATTCTTACCTGTAAAAACAGCAATCTATAATTCATCCTAGTACAATATATCATGACCTGGCACATGGTAGGTTAGGTTAAAAAAAAAATGCCTATTGAATGAGTGAATGAAATCAACCAGTGACTACAGAAAACACCAGTCTCAGCTTTAGACACAGACCACGTCACCTCAGAGAGGAGACCATGTTGTCTCCAGTTTCCTTTTCCTTTAGATGTGAGCTTCCCAAAAGCAACAGTGGTCTTGGAAGGGGCTGCTCCTGGAGTCTCTTGCTCATTTGGTCTGAGAAGGAGGCTGAGGACCAGGGACGGTTG